ACAGTAGAATCTTAGTTTCATTCTCAAGCGGTCCGCCTCGATTTGTCAATTTACAACGAATTATTAACATAGTCCTGCGTTTGTTGTAGATAACGCTAAGAGGTAGGAAATTTGTACGACAATTGACAGCAGCATTTTGTAACTGGACAAGCGATTTAACATTCTCTGTGATCTTTTCCTGCAATATGTGTCAAGTTAGTTGATATGCATTTTACTCATGTTACTCATATAAAACTATCTATTGTAGCCTAGTTCCCCGATTTCTGCTGATGCTCCAAAGGTTACCGCAAGAAACAGTTTTTTTTTTGTTATTTGAATACTTAAGGAACAAAAACTGTTTGTAAACGGCGGGTTTGAGTTAGAGTCGAGTTCGTCAGTGACAATAGGATTAACTTTGGAAGCTGGTCGTCCTGTAAAACATCACCAATGTCGAAATTAACCTGATACCACAAATCGGACTGAGGGGAGACTTGGATCATTTCGGGATTGTTTCATTCGATTCTCCATATTTTGTTTTCGTTATTTTTTCCTGCTTGCAGTGAAGGAGAGGAACGACGCAGGAGTTGTCCTGTTGCTTTTTACAGGTTCAATATTGAAACCTTGCATTCCCCACCCCCCACCCCACCCCACCGTTTAAAATATCTACCATGGACTTCCTCTACTGACAGTGTAAAGAAAGCAGATGGACTCCCGAAACTTAAACAAACACTAATTGTTTGCATCTCGCTTTTGATGAAGGTGCAGATCAAAATGAGTCAGACCTTTTTTTTGAGATCGCTACATTTTCCGTTACCGTTTGGTTAAACGGACTCCTGGGAGATTCTAAATCCACCGAGCGATCGTAAGCTGGTGGTACACTTATTACGGTTGCTCAGCATTTACCTTCGAGTTGGATCACTGATTAAATACAGTGTGTGTCCGTGTCAGGGAGAATACTTTTCAATAACTGGAGGGGGTGTCAGGAAGACCCCAGTCAGTCGAGTCAAATTTAGGGATCAGGAAGTCATGTTGGGAATTGCGGGCTAAGGATAGGGAGGTGGGAGAGGACATTCGGATTACTCGACTGATAAGAGTTAATTGTTGTTTGCAGACTATAAAACGCTTGTTTTATTTTGTTACGCATTTTGACGTTGCCTGCTGCAGTATGTAAAGGCGCAGTAGCACTCAATCTTAAAATGGATTTAGTCTATTTAGCTCACCTGTCGACCATTCGGGTCAAAATTTCGTTGCTACCCAGGTGGCTTTGCAAACACCCTTGTAGCAAAATTCCACTTTTCCTAGTCATTCCTGCCAAATTGAATAAAACAGTTCTTTTTTTTAAAAAAAGGAAACTTTCTGCCGTTGCGTCCGACCCACTCGCATTGTCCAGGCATTCATTTTCTCAAATAATTTTAGTACGCGCCAGCCAGGTTCATGTCGTTAGTTAAACTGCATGAATAGGCAGGTTAATTAATTAAATTTCTGACAGGAGTCCTGCACCTCATGTTAAGAATGCCATCATTAAAGAGACCGCAGCTCTCAGATTTGCGAGCCTACATGTGTAAACCGCGTAGATGGTCACACTCAGAAATGGAACTCTCATTTTCTTGAACGAGTCAGCACATTAATGCATTTGCAGAGATGTTTTACCGTGCTCGTTGCTTTCAAAAGGAAGTGGAAGATTGGAACCTTTGAAGGCATTTGGGAAAATGCGATTTCCTTTTATCAATTCCAATTGAAGGTGAAAGTCGACTGAAAAATATACAAGCTTCCTTAAAATACACTTTAAAAGAGCAATGTCGAGGCACCATGCAAACTGCAAATCGAGCAAACAGCTGGTTTGCCTGTCAGTAAAGTGGCATCATACAAAGAAATTTAAAATACGTAGAAAACATCTTAAACCCGCAGTATTGAACATGTTCTGTCAGCCAAGGAGGTATCTTCACCTATTTCTGACTCTTCAAAAAATCCGCAGTGTATACACAACGAACATCTTTGAACAAATGATTTGAATGCTAATTTCCATAGAATCAATGACATTTAATTGTGTCCAAATACTCTACACTTGTAATACAGTCTTGATGCTGCCATGTAAATTTCTACCAACTGAAGGCAATCAATTTCCACCCGACATAACACACTGTTCATTGCACCCACAGGGACTGTGAAACGTACAAAGGGATACTGATTTGACATCTTTCATTCACACCGTAAAGCGAAGAACAAGAATTGCATCTTTTATGCAAAATGCACCGAAATATAATAGTCCGATTTAAAAAGTAGACAAAAGCTTATCTATGTGTTTTGTTTACTTTATAACTGGACGCACTGTAACAAACTTATTAAAACAATCACTGCGGCGACAAAAATGTGAGTTTTCTTTTAGATATAAAAAACTTTAATATTTAAGTAACAACAGAATCGACACTGTAAAACAGTCACAATTTTACTCCCATTTCACTTTGGATACAACTCGCAACAGCATCTTAGGACAGCCAGGCATTGGACAGACAGAACTGTATTAAGTCAGTGATGTCATCTAAATAAAAATTGACCCATGTTCTACCTATCACTTTCTTTCCGACTGCAATCACAGTGCAGAACTTTTAACACAGAGAAAGGAATAGATGAAACAGCCCCATGTCTGGAACACCACATTAACAATCAGTTAACATCCGCTCGCTCTGACACCTATCCACAATTAAAACAAAAAATAAACTCATCAAATGCTCGTGATGGAGGCCATTTGAACAATCTTGCGCTCTGGCGACGGGTCTGGCGGCACAGATTGATTCACGGATGAGCTCCTTTTGGAGAGTTGTGCAGTTTGAAGAGAGCAAGGTAACACCTGGCTCTGTTTTAGCGGCGCTTGCCTTTGCCGAGAGACAGATAAGGGGCAGCGCGACCTTTCCAGCGCTTCCTTGGAGAACCCTGATCGGTTGCACGGTTTCAGAGCTCCCACCCCCTAATAGCAACGGGTTGCATCATTAGCAAAACACTTTTCCCTGATAGTTCTCCTTTTAAAAAAAATCTGTTGAAACAGTCACTTCCTGCCATACTTGCCAACATATTGTTCCACCAGATCCACAGTGGGAACAAACACTACTTGCTTCTGTTTCCTTTCAAACACACATTTATTTTAAACGCCTTTTGCTTCATTTAGGCCGATTTAGAAAAGTGACAGAGTATCCTACCTTTAATAAAAACGAGGACAAGCTTGAGCAAGGACTTCTTAGAGGTGAATTTGGAACAATGAACATTCTCTCGTCACTGTAGTAAAACGAGCATTGCAACTGGTTGCATAAATCTCCAATAAGAAATCTTTTTTTCCTTAAATCTGGAACGCAGTGTGTTTTCGCCGTAAATTGCCCAAATGGGTCAGATTTGTCCTTCAGTCCCTCAATGCAACTTTCATAGCGAAAGTCAGGCTCGTTCGGAGCACACGTAGTTACGGAATCAAGACAGTGCAACACGCATGAAGATCATTTTGCTGGAAATGGTTCATTAGAAACCGCAAACCGTTGCTGAGAATGGAGGGTGTGAGGGAAGATCCTAATAAATTATTTACTCTACAAAATGTGTATAAATAATGGTCTTTGTGAAAACCAGCAAGTCTGCAGGAAGTATGACAGCGTGGTAAATTAAATGTCCAAACAGGCTAATAAATATTGTAAAGATAAAGGTGCAAATGCACGCATTAAAGCTGATTAGAATTAACCAGCAAGAGATCAAAATACATATATGAACATGCATATGCAGACACAATGAGGCCAATATAGGCACGTGTCCTATGATTTTACATCTTTAAACCGAATAATCCCGGATGTTCCTTTAACGATGAATAAGGATCAAATGCATAACTTAATTGTAATGAAGATATGCAAAGGTTTGCACAGCTCGCTTTCCAATCTTCCTGTATTTTGTGATATTCTGAAGAATAAAGAGAAAAAATGATTTTATTACAGCGCGTTTACAGTCGACGGGAAGTGTAAACCTTGATTTTATTCCTGTTGACAAGTATTTAAGACATTTTCATAGACTGTGTGTGCAATGGGTGTACTTTTGAAAGATAAAGGGTCAGGTAATACGGTTGGAGGGGTTGCACTTTCGATCTGTTTTCGCTGCGCTAAGGCTAGTTACCGTTTTAATGAAGGTATCCAGCCAGAAGCAGAAAGTTGATTTTTCTACCTGACTGAACCTATTCAACAAACAGAACGGAGAACCAATGGATCAATGTTTACTTTATTGGTGACTTCGGATTAAATCACGGAGACATGGCCGTAGACCTGAGGTGAATGATAAATTATATCAAGCAATTATTAGTTCTGGTGAATGTTTTGCCACTTAATGTCAGACTGTGGGACTTAATTGTGTGAATAATTGTTATATGAGGTCTGGTGTCTAATACTTCACACCAGATAAACATCACTTTCTTTACCCTGAAATACATGTGTACCACAAAGTACCCTTAGAAATATCTAAATAGGAAACATGTTGAGCAAAAATAATTCACTGACAGGGAGTTCCAGTGCTAGTTTAAAATGTACTATTCTTACAGAATAAATGCAGTTTTGGATTACACGTAGAATCTGTCATTAAAATATCGCCACAGTGCAAGTTTGCAGAATTCGCTGCTCCCATTCATATGATATATCAGATATAGACTTTGGGACATATTTGCATATTCATATATTTATATAATGATGACTGAATCCATTATGCTGCCATCAACACTAATCTGAGTCAGAACTATGAAAACTTTATGGACTCATTACTTGCAATGTTGCTTTAGGATAAATGGCCTTATAAGGGAAACAACGCGAGGCCACTCTTTTCTTAAAGGGGCATTGTAACGTTGGCAAAAGAAAATAATTTTTCAGCATTCACTAAGTGCTTCCGCACTTTCTGTATGTCACAACACGGCGTTTCTTTAACGGGAGGAGATTGGGTTGGTGGGGTTGGGGTGGGGTTGGAGGTGGCGGTCATATCTAACCAGAAGGAAATCTCCACTTGAAGCGAGAGCGGCGCTAGGCCTGGCGTGAAGTGCAGCCCTTGTGTTTGCACAGGGTGTAGTTGCGTCACGCAGGCGCCTGGTCCAATCAGCGTTGGCCTGACACTGATATTAAGGGGGAAAGTTTGTGTTTGAACGAAAAGCCGTCCCATAGTCCCGGTGACATTTAAACTCTGAGCGAGAGCCCAATGTGAAAAAAAGGGACCAAAACCTCCCACCGTTCTTATACACCGACCGGACCGGGGAGCCAAAGTAAACGTGTTGAATCGCCGATGTACGACTTGATTCAGGTACTAGAGTTCCTGCTTCGTCCTCAACTTACGGCTGCTGTCTGCTTCTGGCTTCTTCTAATAACCTTCTCTCTCTGCTTTCCTCTGTTTATTTATTTTGAGTGTGCAGAATATCTGTATCGATCGCCTATTTCTGTGTTATCCTTTCCGCCTCTGTAACATGTTCGTTGTACACTCCGGTGTTTTTTTCTGTACGCCTGATATAAGCCCCCTTTACAGGAGATCTTTGCCTTTAGAGATCGTCTTTCGGAATTGTTCTAGCAATCACACTTATTGTGTTGCGACGGACAGAGTGCAAATATTAATTACATCAGGCGAATATCATTCCAAAATTTGCGGCTGCACTAAGCTGCAAGTGCCCATGTTTGGGGCGCGGGAGAAGGGGAGTTAATTTGATGGGATATAGGCAACACGGTCTGCGAGGTTCCAGCAAAGTTGCTCTCAACATCTGGTAACAGGTGGCACGGGAACAGACCAAATCTTTCTGTTGTTGTAGTTGTCAACTGCCTCTCTGAAGCGGGGGTAGCGGGGATTGGGGGGGGGGGCGGGGGGGGAAATAAAAGACGATTTTTCAATCGTCTCCACCCACATCACACTCCTATCTGCGATGGAGATTTGGGTTGCTTCGCTTTTCGAAGTTGCTTTCATTTTCCCCACAAATAAAAAAGTGTCGAGTCTCAGGAAAGAGCTGCACGCACGCTTTGAAATCCCAGGAACTTGTTTGATTTCTGCGGCCTTTTGAACGGCGTCTAAACAACAATCAAGGTAAAAAAAACAAGCAGTGGCTTCATATTACATAAGCCCCTATCACTTCCCTGTGCGTGTCAGGGGGTTGAATATGTCGGGGCGATTTTGGGGGTTTAGATATTTAACAGTTCACTGGTGAATTTCAAGCGCGGTCGTGTCGCATTAAGAATGCAACAACAACAAAAAAGGACATTTAAAGGAAACTTCTTCGAAGCGAAAGAATCTGCAGCTATGTTGAAGAAGAATTGTTCCCTTTTCACGAGCCAGGATAATTGCGCCATAGACATCAACCTAGGGCTACCTGTTTGGCAATCAATGTTCAGACTTAACAAACTTAATTTGAAGAATCCTGTTCAACTTATGCTTTAGCTTGTTATTGGTAATTTATATAAAAGCACAACCCAACTCACCTTACGAGGTCCCTCTTTGTTTGCTGTGTGTATTCCAGTTTCTCCTCCTCGTCTGAGGACCATAAATCATATTCCGGGCTAGCTATTGTGGCTATGTTAGGAGCTGGGGTCAGGTGGAGGTTCTACTGTACATGGGCACACCGGTAGTGGACCATACCTTGGTAATAAATCAAGCGCCTTGTAACGCGGACCCTCCTCCCTCATTAGAGAGGTTTATCAGAGATACTGTTTATCCAGCTGTCATGTCGAGATAGGTCTGTAACATAATTGGCCTGACTAGAAGCCCTTTGCCCAACTAACCCCCACCCCTTCCAATGCAGACCAATGTACATTTAAAGCCCAGTGCATTTCGCCAGGAAGGTGTTTTTAAACTGAATCCCATTGACCTTTTGGGACATCTCCTGATTGAGCAACATTTTCCGGCTCTCAGTACAATTCACGTATTGTCCACATGTGCAGAGATTAAAACATTGCTTAAACGGGGAGAGGGCGGTTTTCCGCATAAAGACGTGCTATATAGTTTCTGTTCTTAATTTTGTTTTTGTTGTCGAGTATGAGTGACTCTAGAAAACCAACAGGCGGGCAGACCCAGCAAAGATTCTCTCAGAGTGTAGTCGAAAAATAATGGGGTATTATCTCAGTTCGTGTTGATACGATAGCTCAAAATATATTTTGTGTTCAGTACACAGATAGGCATAAAGTATCCGCAAGGCACAGACGCTGGGATAAGTTGTCAGAAATCGTGCATCTCTACATTCTACCGACTGGACTAGACAAGACGACTTTAAGTATTCTGTGGATTGTGAAAGGTACTTGGTAGCTTGGTTTGCTAATGCTAGGAGACGAGGTCTGTTTCTGCGCTAGTGCGATTAATGAGTCAGACTCCTCAAGATGAGGAAGATTGTGTTTGTGTGTTGGGAGGGGTTGAGATTAAAACGTTAATTTGACAATTTATTAGCTCTTCTGAAACCGAAAATATTCGCTGCTGCCTTCGGACAGGAAGTCCACTAAAGCACATCACTTTGCAATAATACAGAATGCGAAAGGAACGTAAAGTGTGATTGTACTAAGGTCAATTCAAACGAATTGCACAGATGGTTTAATAAACTTTTTGACATTTTCGTTGTTCAGGGTTTCGTATAGCCTCTATGAGCTGACACAACCTCTCTATTACGCCTGTGCAAATAAAGGAAGCGTGTTTTGTAGGAATTGTTTAAACTGGGAGATTATTGCACGCTATTTTCTAGGCAGCAAGTGTTTTAATCGCACTGTACTGCACCAACCTGTGCTAACGGTAACGATTAATTTCATCAACCCACAGGCAAGAGATTCCTGGGGTGGAGCCATTGGTTTTCCTGTCATCCAATTCCTTATTGATTTTAAAAGCCAAAAACTAATCTCAATTACTAATGCTAAACAAAGTTGATTGACTAAGCTTAAAACAAGAACAGCAGCGAGTGGTTTTAAATAGTTTTGATATCATTTTGTGCTCCTTGAGGACATTGTAAAAGTGAACTTGTTTGTATTGAATTTGGGCTTTATTCGCCGGTTAGGGAAAAACGGGATATTTGATCTGCTCATTTCTTCAGTCCTGTCAGAGCAAGAAGAAACGTTTTATTTCGTCCGAGATAGAAGAATAGAAAAAGTTCCCGAACATATTATGACCCCGCAAAAAGGTCAACCTCGTACTATTTAATTGTATCTGTACGACTACCGGAATGCCAATCATTACAAAAATAATAACACTGCTACAATTTTCATTCTCAAGCTTTAAACACTTTAATTTTTTTGAAATTTTGAATGACGTTCTTTTTTTTCTCTCTGCTTCCGGGTTTCCGGACTGGGTTTTGCTATTTTGTGCAATCTTGCCCAACACCGACTTCCATCAAGGGTATTCCCCTGGGTCCGGAGATGGGGGCTTCAACTCTCTCGATCATAGCAACATAAAGAACTTTTTGACAAGTTCATTGCCCATTTATATTCTTGGTCCCTGTTATTCTCTTTTACACGACCCCTTTGATATTCAAATTTAAAATTGCACCAACTAATTCTGCCCTCCTGCCTTAAAAAATCATAGCAGCACTCGTCAAATTACCGTCCCTCCTTCTGTGAACGTGTGCCCGTGGAAAATAAAACAAAACTTGCGCTGGAGTTCTCCATTTTAATATTTTTTAAAGCTTTATCATTGAATATACGATCGAGTCACGCTAGTGCCCATTAGTTATATTAGTTTTAAAAACGTAAATTTGCTAAATGCAATCGGGCAGCCGGATAGGCCCGGAAAGGACAAATTAAAAGACTCATTAAAGTTCATTTTTCCCTCTTTGAGAGCTACATTCAATAAAAATGGCGTCACTCCGTGCCTTTTAACAAACTTAGAGGAGGTGGGGGAGGATTTTATTTTGCAGCGCCCCCCTCCTCCCCACTGACAAAAAAAGCTGTCGATCAGGTGAGCCCCTAATAACTTTTTCTTTTGTGCAAATATCTTAGAGAGGCATCGGAAGAACTCTGAAACAGACCTGGTTGTTTTGTGTATGGACATTTATATGTCTTAATCGTGCAATGGGGGTTCTCAAGTCTTAAACTTCACCGATGAATTGTAGACCACGATCAATTATTGTAATGATAAACCTTGGCTGGTGTGCTTCCCCATTGGCTGTTAGCGTCTATTCCTAACTCCTTGATAAATCCATGGTAGCCAATGTATCCAAAGCTCTTTCGGCGATGCGCTTTAATAAACCCCTTTCTCTTGCAGCATGACGTCAGTTGTATTCAGTATTTCCCACCCTTCGCATGATTTTTTTTGTGTGTTGTGTGTGTTCAAAACTTTTTTTTTGCGGAGCCCACAAAGAACACTTTGCCCCGGGGGGAAATAGCGACGAGATTAAGGTCTTCTGGTCCGTTTTAGTGGGCGCTAATCCGAAATGCGCTAATTGAGCTTGCAGCGAAACAGAGAGGGAGAGAGAAAGAAAAAAAAATCACCTTCGCCGCCTGTGGATTTATGAAGGCACCAACTGTACTTCTTCAAACTTTGTTTGTTATGAGCAGGCGCTTTAATTTCCCCCCTCCCTCTAAGAAAAGCAACTGTAGTCCAACCGGCTGCAGAAAGAACTGATCGACGAAACTTTAAAGTAGCACACAAAAAAGGGATATTCATTTTAAATTGCCTTCTTTTAAACAAGAAAGAACGGCGGGGCGGATTCTGTCTTACAAATAATCAGACTCTGATTAATGCACAATTGTTTCCAGCTAATTTGAAAAGCTTTTCGAAGCCACACCTTCCTTCAGCCAAAGGACAAGGAAACCGGTTTGTACATTATTATCATTTTTTTAAATCTTATGCATTCATTTTGTTGCGATTGCGGAGTTTCTGCTTGAAGTGCACGGTGTGAAACTTTTGTGTGTGTGTGTGTCTGTGTGTGTGTACTTCACTCCCTGGTTCGGAATAAATTACTAGCTCGACAAGTTTCTATGCGGCACAGTCAAGGCCTTTTCATTTCATCACCATCCGTGTTCACGCTTAGTAAACGCATCATTGCAGATTTGAATTGTCAAAGTTCACTTGTGAAAGGCAAACTTTTTTTTTAAAACCCCGGCAGTTCACCGAATCTAGTTGCAGATTTTAATGCATTCGCCTGCCTCCCCCTATCTTCCCTCTTTCTGTTATAGTTAATGTTTGAGGTTTAAAGCCGTTCTTTACCAAAGCGAGAGGCTACCCAGTGGAGGGCCCGCTCCGCGCTGTCTAACCCGAGTGGCGTTTTTTGCAACAAAACAAAAAGACACTTTTCTTGCGTATGTGGAACTGCAAGGCGAGCGATGGCTCCGCCATAACAGAACGGACAAAGTCTCGATTTTAACCACCTAAAACAACCCCCACCAATTACCATCTCTCTCTTTAGACAATTGCTGTAATAGGCCGACGTTCCCATGCAAACTCTTGTCCTCGGTCACAGCGTGACCTGTAACTCCCCTACAAATAATGCCTTCTTTTTTCTCTCTCTCATTCCCACCCTCGCATTCCCGAATAGGCCCACTTCTCGAATTTATAAAGATAGACGTTCGTTAAAAAAAAGTGGAATCCGGGAATATTGACGTTAGCTGAGGGGCAAAGTTAGAAGGGAGTTGGATCAATACTAAGAGAGTGGCAGCTCTGGCTAGGACTCGAGATGACAGTGCATGACGGTCTGGGCAGCTCATTATCCAGCTCCTATTGAGGCGTCCTTTTCACTCAGATGCAAAGTATTTGGCAGAGTCGTTTGTCTCCGCATTGTACTTTAGTTAGGAATGCAATGGTTGTCAGTGCTCTTATTCACTTTCAAGATACTTTATTGATGAGCTCTGACTTTTAGCACTTTTCACATGTCAAGAGAAGTCAAGTGTATGCATCCACGACTTCATTTTATGCTTTGCGCGTTTCTGTGAACCCCCCACCTCCAGCCCCTGCCCCCCCCCCCCCCCCCTTTTCCCCTTCTGGTTGCTTTCTCTCTCTACATCAATCTATCCTTATTTCTATCTGCATCTTTTTCTCTCTCTCTTTCTCTCTGTCTCTGTCTCTCTCTCTCTCACACACACACACACACACACACACACACACACACACGTACGCCCTATTCCAATGGGATAAATAATGGAGACACCCTGAGCAGAGACTGGTGCTACCTATGTAACCTCAAACCAGGCGCTGAGGGGTTGCTTTGGAGTTTACTGAGGTGTACATTAATGGTGGGGCATTCAACAAATGTGGTTCTGGTGTGTGGTCAGCTGCTAGTTCATTTTCTTACTTTCCCTGTGATTTTCTGGCAGCCAGAGAAGTGGCACAGCCCATTGGAAATGATCAATTAAAATTAATAGAGCTTGCACTAAGCTGCAGTAAAACAGACGCACAGCTCTCGTGGAGGATGTGAAATATGTTTTCTCTGTCTCTGCCTCTCTCTCTTCAAACGTCGGAGCATCTCCTCCAGAAAAGTTGAGGTTTAACTTGTTACTTCCTTAAGAAAATAAAAAGCTAACAACGGTCGCCAGGCAAACAAAGGGCGCGTGGGAGAGGTTTGGGAATGTTTTCTGTGCAGACACTTCAGACCTATTTACCAGAGGCTGGAGTCCACAAAGTAAATGTGTATTTAATCGGCCCTGACAAGGGGACGGGAGCCCTCTACTTAGAAGAACATTACCAGAGATTGGTAATTTGTGTGAATTCATCCAAATGTGTTTTTTTTTCCGATAGGAAAGTTGAGGATATGTTAAATATGATTAGTTATTCAAAGTGGATGACTACCTTCAGCCATCTAATAACTCAAATCAATAAAGCAATTGGTTCTTCCCGGTTTAATATTTTCATAACTCCCAGTTCTTACAAAACCTTCTTCCAAATTTAGAAAAAAGGCTCTTAAAACGTTCAATCCAATTCGAAATTTGGGTACATTTTAAAATATATACATACACCCCACGTGGTCATACACATTACACCGGTGCCGTTTAGCCGAATCCTGACATAAAGTTTTTGTGTACACCCATAAAAGCTGCCCATACAGGCAGGGAGGACGAAGATAGCAGTGAGGACTCTTGTACCCGGTTGCCCGGCGTGCTTTCTTTCCCCTTCTTTGCATAAGGAAATATTTATTTGTGTGTATTTGCATGTGGTGCATAAAACCGTGTGGAGTGATTAGTGGGTTTGAAAGAGTGCATTTCCCGCTCTGGTGAGGCGCAGGGAGGAAGTGTTTTGCTTGCGGATGATGACAAAGGTCACCCTCTGCTAATGGGCCAGTGAAGTGGAGGCGAGGCGAGGCGAGCGCACCTCCTGAATTCAGACATACATTAATACAACTAGCACCATCAGCAATCAGCTAGGTGTGCTGTCTCTCTCTTTCCCTCTCTCTCTCTCCCTCTCTGTCCTCTGTTGTCTTTCTCCCCTCTCTTGTCTCTCCATCTCCGCGTGCTTCAACAACTCCCTCTCTCTTTAGTGACAGCAGATTTTATTGTCAATCTCTGTCTCCTTCGCAGGAATTTGCCCTGTCTCTTTCCCCCTCTCTCTGTGGAGAAACTATAATCCACTAGCAAGTCTTAAAAAGTCGCCCATCATATTCCATCTTAACTGTTTGCTGGACGTGTTGACAGCGACGCAGAATGCCCCATAAAGGTGAGTCTGTTTGCTTTCTTACATTTAATTTAGTGCATTTTGGACATCTTAATTAACATTACTCAATCACAAGACAAATATAAGTTTCCTTTAGCTTCTATCTATGATTTATAGCTCAGCTCAGATTCAGTGCAACATATTATACATTTTAACGAGACTTTGATCATTTGCGGATTGTTTTCAAATGCCGCAATGAAACAACGGGCAATTCTTAAGGGGGCACATAAAGGTGCACTGTCTTCAGGAAACTCAAAGGAAATTCAGTCTATTCCAAGTCATTGTATCAAACCATTCGCTAGTTTTTAACTTGTGAGTTGTTTATACCCTACTATCGAGCCGTTTTGACTATTAATGGCAATTTTAATCGAACTCGGAGGTCACGCATCCATTTACTTCACTATTAAAATAAATAATTTCGGAACGATACACCAGAGAATTTAGCAAAATCCCCTTATTCTCCCTGCAGGCAAATGTAAATTGGCGTTTCTGGGAGGAGACGCGAAATGTGTTTGAGATGCTGCGTTGTGGGGTTGTCTAATGTCATTTTTTTTCTGCATGTTTATAAGTAGTTGTTGTTTATTAATGATAAAAAAGAGTAAAATAAGTCACTTTAGGCCAAAGCTTGCTGTTTGATGAAGATGCAATGACCCGATAATGCATTGTGTCAGTTTGAATTAAGCAATCAGCCGATTCATTAGTGCCGTTTGCATTGAGTGTTTCAAACTCGTCAGAAGTCTGTGCAACCGTTAGAGCTTTACGTTATTTTTAAGGCAAAATCTAGTTATTAACGTGCTTCACCTTGTCGAGGGCTAATGGGCTCGGCGAGTAAACACCAAACTGCATGTGTTCGTGTTAAAAAGCAAATGAATTGAAATGAGCGGTCCTTTCTCGGCTCCGGTTCCACGCAGTCATTTGATCAATGCTTTCTTTCCCTGCGGTTCAAACCAGATCCTTCGGTATTACAAACTTTGTTTTAATTTCACACTAAAATAATTTATAGCCACTTAAAATGAGCATGGCCTGACAAGAGAACCAAGCATCTCAGTTTTATTTTTTGGGTTGATATTAATAACCACTCGCAATTTAGAGCAAAAATATTACATTAATTCAGCTTTCGCGTCAAGCATTAAGATATTTAGCTGTGAGGTGCAGACGTAAACGGAGCCGTGTCTGTAAGATTTAAATTACCGTAACTACTCCATACTATAATAAATTATTGAGCGCTGAACCGAGGATTTCTGTGCCTCTCATTATAAATAAGCCTTCGAATTTCTGATAGTAAAAATAATCAGCGTAGTTTTCCCATTATTATAGGCACGAGTGTTCCAATTGTGAACTGACCGCATCTTAATAGTTAAAACAAGGAAATATTGGCTCAGGTGAGAAGAAGATAGAGTTTCTACATTTGTTAAAATGCATGCAAGTTTGCGGTTCGTTGGTACAAAATCTGAATGTGGAGGATAAAGGGAAAAATAAATTCAGCAAATGAGGTATGGAACAGGGGACTACTGTGAGATTTACGGGTGTTTTTGTTTTAAATATATACAATTCTATGCTTCATATCGTCTAGTCTCGGGCCAGCGTTGAGCAAAGACTGGGCCGAAAAAAGGGTGACAGTTTGGTTCGAAATCGGCTGTTAGATACAATAAGAACGCACCCTGTGTATTTGGTGTCTGCTGTTAGACGTACATTTATATACGTAGAAGATATAAAACGTGTAAATATATAAAGACCAGTATCAGGCTGGGCCTTTGAGGAACAACTGCTTGTTCAGCACTTGATTTCATCTATGTACCGAGGGACAATAGTAAAGATTGGTCTTAAAATTCTAGCCCTGAAATGGATCAGGGCGTTATCAACTGCTTTTCTGTGTATTTTTTAAAAGTACATTTTAAAAAGGCAGTAAAACGGCATGTGGACTTTTCAGAAGGTGATGAATTGCTTTTTGCAAACCGAGTAATTAGGAAAGCACTTCCTGCAGCCGTGAAAATCGCCCATCGCAGTCAAAAGACGGCATTTTCCCTTTAATTTTTTTTATTGCAAATGTTAAGGCCCTTTCTTAAAGCGGGAAAGCACAAACGATCTTTCGTAGCCTTACTAGTAGCGACGGCTTCCGCTGGCTGCAACGGAGTTAAAGCGCCCGGCTTCTCCCGCTTGCTGTGGATAATCAGGTAGTCACCCTTGGCTGTTGTAAATATTTACGCAGGGAAGTCTGCATGCTGGGAGAAAGTGTTTGTTTGAAGTTTATTTTTTTTTGTGTGTGCAGGAATAGATAACAAAGCTAGACTATAAATTATTTTCCGGTGGTGTGTTGATGAATAGAAAGAAGAGAGGAGGGTGGAAAACCGAGGCTGCAGGAATTTAAGTCAGATGTAAGAGTGGGGTGAGGGTGGGGGAGGGTGGGAGGTGGTGGGGGGTGCAGAGTATACCTTCTACTTACGGTGGCAAAGGGAAACAGAATGAAGTATTTCGAGAAAGAGGTAAAAGGAAAATGAAAGCTGGTCCATTTCGTTATTGTACCCCTCTTTTAGCAAACCCCGTGAATAGACCCTTTATTGTAATTGTCTTCTTGCAATTGAGCGTCCCACGGAGCTGTTGTGTCTTTTTACAACCGTTAACAACCCAATACCAGCAACATAATTACCTCCAGATACTCATAACAGAAATTACTTGTTTTATTTGGGGAGTGGGGGAGACGGAATAGCAAAACAAAACTGAAAAAAACTGCTCACAGTTCGATAGTGAAAGTTGATTCTCCCCTCTCTCTCACCAACCTTCCCCCCCCCCCACCTTGAATGAGTGTGAGTGGGAGAGGACGCGCTACGTTTAGCTGAACATTGTGTTGCTGTTCGGAGAGCCTGTGTGTATGTGTGTGTGTGTGTGTGTGTGTGTGGGTGGGTGGGTGAGGGGGGGGGGAGTAACTCTCTGGGTACGGGCTGTAAGCAGAATAGAAAGCATTGTTCACTTTCTGTAGCCATTGTCGATCAGTGCTGACCCCCTCCCGTTACTACTTTTTAAGCACTGAGGCGAGGTAGACAGCGTGTGTCAGAATACCTCAGCATAAAAGAGGATCTAAAGACCAGGGAAGAAAGTTAATCAAGAGGAACTAAGTTCAAAAGTACGTTATGGCGTACAGTACGTTAATAAGTTTTTTTTGGGGGGGAGAAAACTTAGACTGAGGACGAGCCCCTGCCCATCCCCCCTAAAAAAACACTGAAATACTAAACTGAGCGAACTAAACCATGCCGAGAAATATGCAGAATTGTCAATGATGAAATATTATAAGTCCGCCCAAAGCAGAAGCGAAATATTCACATACTGTCTTCACAAAGTATGGGAAATGAGGCCGGTTTATGCGCATGCTTATGGCATTGAAACAGTATTGCAAACATTCCCTGGAAGATCCTGAAGTGATACGTCCAGCGTGCGGTATTATCATTTTTCTCACACAGGAAACCATGAAACCCGTGCGAGGAGGCAAAACATTTTTGAACGGACATCATTCGAAGTCCCTGAGATGAGTTAAACAGGCGCCTTCACTGCGTTGAGATGTGACATAGAATTCGAGCGTAAATTCTTTCCGCCTTCCTGAAAGTAACTTGATGACGGGTTGGGGAGGGTACATTGCGCAAGATGGGCATACCGGCTTAGAAAGACCGGTTCCCCTTGTCATGTTTGAGCAACTTTTACGCGGTCCGTAAGACAAGTCCAAATACCTTGAAACGGTCAGGTTGTTACCGAATGATTCAGTGCAGTTTCTGGTCTAAGTAGGGAGGTTCAGGAAGCTGCACCAGTAATCCAATTATATATATATATTTAAATCGCCCATCAAATTGCCATAATAAACTTTTTTTGTTTTCTTTTTCCATAGAGGGAAGACTTTAACTAGTAACAAACAGATGCCTGTGGTCACAGGCTGTCAACACAGGTTTCAGGCAAGTTTCAAATATTATTACATTCGGGCAGCATTTTAAATATCGAATATTCCAAACCCCTTAATATAAAAAGTCCTGGCTTTGCAATGAGATACATACAATACAGCCGCCTGCGGCCTCTGTGTAGCCTATCTGCTTTGTTTTAGCCAATTCTTTTAAAATTGTTCCCTTTAAAGAATATTGTGGAGTCAAATTTCTCAGAGATTGTAGATGTTTCCTTGATTGTGACTTTGCCCTGATTAACGCATAGTTTTATTACTATTAGAACACACTAAACAAGCCACGTGGGACTCTGGTGTAACAGTTCAACATGCAGAACAGTAAGTGACGCTTCTTGTACTTCTATGAATCATGGAACTTATGCCAAATACTAATGTGTCAGGAATAGGACGCTTCCCCAGCACTTCAAGTGTTAATGCCAAAGAATGCAGGTTCCGTCATCAATAGTAAAACACCTTGATTTAATTGCCCAGCCAGGACCTCACTAGCAATTTTCAGCGTCAGTATGAGATGTAACCGTAGTGACTGTTAGCCAGGGCCCTTGTAAGAGGGGTTACCAGCTTCAATTCATGTGGCGCTAAACTCCCAATTAAAACGACTACCTAAATTTACTAACTCGGAGAGAAAAAAAACATGATCACCTCGATTACCTGTGGATCCATCTATTGTAAGAATACTTCCTCCGTTCAGGTTCATTGCCCCCCAACTCCACTATAAGACTGAATCAAGAGCTAACAAACCTACACTTTCTTTGTTCATTTCCACCCAGGATTTCTTTTTATCTTGCGGTCGTACGGCGAATTTGGTCCAAATTTCATGCGTCCAAAATAAATAGATTATTTTCGTCTCTTAGAAAATGCATTTAGTTGCTAATGTAAATTAACCCCCCCCCCACCCCCCACCCCATCCTTCCGGGAGCGAAAAATAGAAATAAAACTTCAGATCCCTGTTTTCAATCTTCATGTGATTAATTGAATTTGGGTGTGTGTGTGTGTGTGTGTGTGATCAAGTAAGCTGTTGTGCGAATTACTGAGGAGATATCATTCGGGTGAAGCCTTTAGTTTGTTTAAAGGTCGCGGCGGGCTCTGCGGGCTTTGTGCTAATAACTCCTGGGTGTATATGCTGCATAACATCCAAATTGCCACCATATGGTTTTGTATTAGATGACTCGCAATAGAATACAGGGCGCATAATCATTACCACTGGGCGATTCCTCCACGCCTCAGTACAGAGACGAGTGTAGTGATTAAGTTGTGCCTTTTTTAAAAAATGTTGCTTCTCTTGAAAAGTAAACCCGGAAAATTGCACGTGGAAGTTGTGGGGGAGGGGTGGCTTGAGAATGCAGGAAGGGCCTGAGCATTCGTTGGCCAGTGTAAGGTACACTGCTAAATGCACTGCGAGTCTTTTGATAGGGAACTCGACACTCCCAAACATAAATGGGCGTCAGTTCTCCAGTTACCTGGACTGATGGTTTTCTTTAAGAGATTCACACCTATTGCTGTTGTTTGAAAATGCCAAGCTTGTTTAAAAACTGATGTCCTATTTCGGTGTGTGATATATGAATTCATGCTTTGCTTAAAAAAACACACACAACCGACTTACAACAATACTCCAAATGTGTGCGAAAATTGTACAAAAGAGTTCTCTTGACTTTAATAGATTTTCAAAGGTGAAAACTGTATCGCTTGCTTTTTTTTTAAAAAAGAAATGAATATAAGAACATGACTGGGAGCTAAACGTAATTGTGTACTCGTGATTCTTGGAATAAATGTTAAAACTCACGGATGATAATGGGCTATAATTATGTATTAGATATGGTGCTTAAAATGTTAGATGGCTTTGCTTTGTATTTAAAGAAAAACATAAAATTGCTGGCGTTTTTGCGTCTTTAAATAGCGCTGATTTAAGTAGGACGCGCGTCCCCGGTATCGTGATCGCGCCTAGCCCCCAGGCAACCTTAAAATGAAGCCTTCCTTTAAGGGTAACGAGTATAGTCCAAGACACTATGAATGATATACAAATGCGGACAGAAAGGGACGTTTTATCATGCTTCTATTTGTCGTGACGATCCGATTTTCAAAGTAGAACAGTGTCATAAAGTGACATGCCTGCCACAAGTGTTTGGGACTGATCTTTTCAATTATCCTTCCGTGCACTATCCAGGGAGACTTCCGCTTATTTCTAGAAATTAAGCTCAAAGTTGACGTGCAGCTAGCTTGATTTTCGAGACAAATGTCAGCAAACCTCATCATTTTCCCTCCTATATTCGGAGCTTATTTATGGCTAAGTGGCTGGGCTTTTGGAGCCAATTTAGCAGGCGCTCCTAGGGAGAGGAGAACAGGTTCTCTTTAAGCCGGGAGCTTCCTCGAGGGACACTGTTAGCAGCCTGAGTTTCAGGTTCGGAGTCTCCATAAACTGACAATTACTGACCTTTTCCTGTTTTTAACAAGCAAAAGAATGGCTTGTTTTGGTTGCTCTGGACATCTGTTGTAATACCGGGAAGATAAACGTGTTATTTGTAACATTGGATTCAGTTGATTTTGCATTGTCAGTCAAAGAGGCATTGTTAGCTGCTCGATTAGCTGAACAAAAATCTTGTTTCCGTTGGTTCTGTTTGTTTTGTTGCAATACCTGTATCGAGTGGTTTGTCGTATTTAATTCGGCTGTGATGATTTGTAAGCGCACCGACGTTTTCATAGCTCGTACGATATTCCGGTTTGATTGGCGGTTTTGGTGTTTAGAGCAGGAGTGCGAGTTTATGGGACAGATTTTGTTTTACAACTGAGATCTCGGGCGTGATTAAGGACGGGCGCTGTGAGCAGAGAACTTCGCCGAGCGTACCTCTTGGGTCTCGGCCGCTGAATATGTTCGCTGTTGCTTTACCCCTAGGTCACAGTGGAGTGAACCAGCTCGGCGGCGTGTTTGTTAATGGTCGACCATTGCCTGACTCGACCAGACAGAAAATTGTGGAACTTGCTCACAGCGGAGCCAGGCCCTGCGATATATCAAGGATTCTCCAGGTAACAATCTATCAGTTAATACGTCTATACATCATTGCAAATCGACCTGAAAAGCATGCAGGATGTCACAGTGTTACCGTTGCATATGCAATCAGCTTATTGAATCATTTTCTAGAAGGGGTTTTCTACAATCCAAAAATGCTTCCTAAAAATTGCATTCGTACCTTCAAAGTAATTTATTTCAAAATTGGCGAAAAAAAAACAAGAAATTATCTTGAAATGATTGAGAAATGGTCAGATTTCCCCCTGCCATTTAAGGGTTTATTTTTGTATTGTAGACCCAATGTTGATGCAAAAAAAATTAAGTTTGAAACTTTTTTTAAATAACTTTGGCACGCGCCAGAAATTCTCTTGAAATCAATGCAATATTGGTACGTTTCCCACTGCCATTTAAGGTATATTTTTGTATTGTAGACCCATGCTGATGCAAAAGTCCAAGTAGTGGATAATCGAAAAGTAAGCTCAACATTGTTTAACTATATCCATATACCCATATAAATATATATTATCAAACAAAAAGAACCATTTTATTTGTCAAACACTTTTTGATAGCAATGCTTTCCCTTTTCTACATATACATGTAGGTTTCTAACGGCTGTGTCAGTAAAATCCTGGGCAGGTATTATGAAACTGGATCCATCAGACCCAGGGCAATCGGAGGGAGTAAACCAAGGGTAGCCACTCCTGAGGTTGTCTCTAAAATCGCTCAGTATAAACGCGAGTGCCCGTCGATCTTTGCTTGGGAAATTCGAGACAGATTGCTCTCTGAGGGGGTCTGTACTAACGACAATATACCAAGTGTGAGTAAAACATTTAATTAACTTTGAACGGAGGGAAGGATTTATTTATTGCCACTAACGACTGCACGCAGAAAGTACGCCTCATTTGCTCAAACAATTTTTTAAAAAAATAAAAGCATATGTGTGATTTCATTATCAAGGAGACCGCAGCGGCGGAGACTAAAATAACTAGCTCCCTCAGACATCGATTGTTCTTTAGATTAATATTCCCTCGGAATTTGAACTCAGAGACATTGCATTTAAATAAATGTTGCTTGTTCCTTCGATGGGTAAATGTGGAATGTTATGAAGTGAAATCATTTAAACTGGCGAAATGTGCAGATTTTTTTGATCCTGATTGCAATGATTATTTCAAACATTACTCTTGAATTTCATACTGATTGATCTAAGTGTTCGCTGCTTAGTGAAATGGAAGATACCAGTTGGTGTAGATTGAGTCACAAGGCTGTGTCACCAAGTATATAATATGTATATATACTAATTTAACTCATCGTTGGCATTTGTGATTTATTTTCTTTTGTGTTGTTTATTGATATGAATGCAAATGAACACATATTGTCAAGCCTTTACGAAAGTGCTTGATATACGCAGCTGAGACTGAAGTATGAGATTAAATTAATGTGTTAGATGATCGTAATTCTTGTAGATTTAGTTCGATTTTATTTCTACTGAACAATTGCACGAACTAATCACGGACATCCTTGAATTTCAACATTCAAATTGTTCACTTAAAGAGCGGAAAGATATTTAAGAAGAATGGCTGATTGGCTTTCAGGTGTCATCGATTAACCGAGTCCTTCGCAACCTGGCTAGCGAAAAGCAACAGATGGGAGCAGATGGGATGTATGATAAGCTGAGGATGCTGAACGGTCAGACAGGTGCATGGGGTACCCGGCCAGGCTGGTATCCGGGCAGTTCGGTGCCAGGGCAGCCCAACCAAGGTAAGGAACACTGGCTAGCTATTCTTATGAGGGCCAGTCTTTAACTAACTGACGGAGAACCTAATATAAAATGTTCTTGGGTATTTAGATTCGCTGGTCAGCTCGTCATACTCAGAGATACAGTTATTTTGGTTAGCTATTCAGCAAGTGGGCCACACTAGGCTAAGGCAAATATCTAAGTAAATGACAAAACAAGACCAGGTATACATTATCCAACACATTTTAGGAATAAAATAATAGGTCATTTGCAGCTTGGCAGTTGTTCCTCGTCTGATCTAACTGTCAAGAGCCAGCGGATTTCATCTTCCTATGTCAGCCCAGTCCCGTTGTTGCTGTTTTCTTTCCGTTCGATGTCAATTTCTTAAATTTGACAATTAGATAATTATGTTCCGTCTAATATCTGAAAAGAATAGCAACACAGTTGCAGACAATCGTTGTACGAGAATAAAGTCAAGATTAGTGATGAAATTAACGAATGTATATTTTACGCCAAATACAAATGACAGTGTGCAACTCTTGAAGGAATGCATTTTATCCATTTCAAGGCTGACTTCTTGTCGGAACATTTGAACACTGACACTGTCCAACGCCTAGAGCGGGCAAATCTTCCAGGCCTTCTGTAAGCGTTAGGAACAATAAGACTGTAACCACCAACAGCACATTGCATTTATATATTACCTTCAACGGAAAACTCACCACATGTGTTCAGCAAATCAACAATTTTTTTTAGGCGGATTTGTCCAATCACCTCAATCATCCTTGTCCCATTTCTCCCAGGTGAGGAATACAATGAAAATTCATACCGGAATTTTAGAAATTAAACATTAAATTAAACAGAGTTGCTTTTCCATTTAATTGGGCACATAAATGCTCTCATTGTCCTAATTGTTAAATATGGCTATATTATCCATTTACACATATTCACAACTTGCAATGACATTTAATTATTACGCAGAATGCTAACATAAAGTATCCGGTTCATGGCAGGAGTATCTTAAATTTAATCTTGTGAAAATGGAAAATTATCAGCTAGAATTAAAATCAAGCTTGAATTGTGCAAAGGCACTGGTCGTCTATGAGAATTCAAGTGCGGGCGTTATCAATCCCATCAGTTAAAATCGTGAATGCAAACCAGTTAAACGTCGCAGCGAAACACTCAGTTGGGAAGTCCCAGAGAACTCTTAGAAAGCACTAATTTTTGGAAAGTACTTTCTGGTCATTGGTCAAAGGTTTTATCCTTGAATAATTTGGATAAAGATGGAGGAGATCGTGTGTATTGTTAGTGGGGGCAACAGAAAGGAGCCTGGTGCAAATTCATTTATTTGAGTAAACTTAACGCTGTTGATAGCACGCGAACCATACAATTGAAAACACAAATAACGCCCGGGCCAATCATTTTGAAAACAAATGCGTATTCTTACCGAGTTAAAAAGTATTTAGTAATAAGGGTACACGTTTATGTAAACCGTGTTCCAATATTACATGAAAATAAGTGTATGCGGTTTTGAAACGTTACGTTGTTCCATACAACCTTCTTTAAGTCATTTGGGGAGCTGACGTCGTTCATGTTTAAGGTTAGCTCATGTTTATTATCGCGATAGCAGCGAGATAATTTGCAGTGTAATTGGATGTGATGTTAGTGGCTTGGATTGGGGTAGGGGGGTGGGTGTTGGTGGAGGTAGTGGGCGAGACCGACAAGTGAATCATTTTCTGTATCCACTGTGTCATTAGTGAGCCTGTTCTTGACAGTCATCAGCCTGGGGAGGAGGTGTCCCGTCCACAACCTGCTTTTTGTTCGCAGAATCAGCAACAGTGTGCGGAATATATTGTACAAAGGATGCTTCAGCCACACGCAAGAATTTGTAATGGGAACAATTCTGTCGCTATGTAATTGCTCATTAGAGAGCGTTTTGTTTCTCATTAAGCAACATGAATAAGCGTCTAGTTCTAGGAGACAGCTGTAGAAATGTTACACATGAGACCCCTGGACACCATATCGCACCACTTGCCAATTAGACATGTCAGCTTTCTGAGAAGCAAACAATATAAGAAGGGCACTAGAAAGATACACAGCAGCGCATTGCTTTCTGTAAGATATCCCCCAGCTTGTTATAGCACTTTTAATGAAGCCATCGACACAACTAACAACGATTGTATTACAATACAAAGGCGCTTTAAAAGTCCAAACTTCTAAACAATTTTAACTCTCCACTCATCACAGTAAGAAGAGTACAAACAAACCTGGGAAAGTAGCCTTTGCTCAGAGACTTGATAGCCGAGTGACAACGTTCATGTACCTTTCTGGGTGCCTTGAATAGTCTCATATACCAAGAGTAGGGGGTAGATGGGCATCAATGTTAATTACAAATCAGAAACTTGCAGCAGAAATATTTTTATTTAAAAAGTTCACTTTGTGACTGTAAAATATTTTTTGTGTAACTGCGCGAAGTAAATGTGGGAATACTAAAGTCAGAGCACTGGAGTGATTTGAAGATCTTGGATAAGATGTTTAATAATGATGTCTTAAGTTGTTACTATTGCTAGATCTAAAAATGATCTTTGTATTCTATCGATCAAAATTGAAATAACGGCTAAGACATTTCATTTCAGTTGGGCCCGTTTTTTCGAGCCTGGTTTGGGCCTGTTCGTTTGGATCTTAACTAGACTGTTTAAGCTGACTAGGTATTTTAGGTGAATTGTGTCGATTGGAATCTCTAGGGATAGCAAGGGAAATCTAAATTTGTTTACTGCAATTATATGTTAATGATTTTGGTGGAGGTGGTATGTTTTTTACTGTCCCTTTGAGTTGTCTGGAGCGTGCAAGCCATGCATGGAAACATATTGAGCTTTGACTGCTCGAAATTCGGACATTTGATCATCAATTCGGGCCATACCAAATACTGGATGCGGGTGGTTTAGGATCAAAATAATTTTCAGACTAACAGCTATTTGCAGGCACGAAATTATCGAACATTTGAATCAAGTAACGTAGGGGACTGTCGTTCAGCCCTTCGTGTTTGGCCCTGTGCGCTTTCAACGAGGAATTCGATTGGTTGCATTCGCCCACCCCTTCGCCATTGCCCTGTAAATGTTTCGCTGTGTTTCTTGATAATTGTTTTAAATACCAACTCTAAAGCAACATTTGATTACAATCAACTACTATCTTTGATTACAATCGACATCACTTCAAACAGATTATCCGGCCTTTATCACGTTGTTGTTTGTGGGAGCTTGCTGTGCTCATATTGACTGCCCTGTGCCCAACAATGTAGCAGTGACACACTTCAAAAGTACTTCATCGGCTGTACACATACATATTTAAGCTTTGGGACATCCTGAGGTTGTGAAAAAAGCGCCATATTAACATTAGTCTTTGTTTTATTGGTTTTACATTACCTTCAACTGATCAGGAAACATAAGCATGTCTTTGACGTGCAACAGAACGATTGTGTTACTGGTCATAGCTGCGTTGTATCTGGACAGTTCTCAACAGAACTGCCTTCATACCTTCTATTCCAAAGTTATCACAAGGAATCATTTTGTCGGGGTTATAGAACACCTAAAGTCATAAAATTGGAAAAAAAATCAATCCTAATCTCATTGTCAACGTTGATCATTAACGTTTATGCTACATTGTGTGATTGGAACAGTGGTATCAAACGTGTAATGAAATCACATAGTCTTTAAGCTGCAATTGCCTCTGCTAAATGGTCTGAGGAAGTTGAGGGGCAAAGTTGTAATCTGAGCTATGCTTTGTGTTACATTGACAGTGAAAGAAACGAAATATTAAAAATGGCAAGTATTCTAGCCCACTAAAAATACGAAGTAACTTCGTTTCGCTTCTGTTGATGAAACATCTGATACATTATCCCTCTGACCAGCTGAGTGCTTGCAATTCGAAGTTATCTCAGTTTGTCTAACACTTGGGCAAAAGTCAAACTGCGTAGATCCGAATGCTTGATGCTATGCCAATGAGGTCAATGTATTGCACCTCGAGAACCGGACTGTAAAATTAAAACGCATTAAAGTGATTTATACTTTTGTTACACGATTTGATAAATAAAACTGAACGAACTTTTAAAAAAAGCCGTCATGAGTGCATGGGCGTTCTTCCAATTGGCTAAATAAATCATGCAAGCAGTATTAATAGAGAGAGTCTGATTTCACTTCATTTAAAACATAGGGATAACCCGTGTAGACAATAATTACTTTTCAAGTGTAAGTCAGGTCGTCTGGACTTAAATGTTTGTTCAATATCTTTATGGAGACAGTCATGGAACAAATATATCCCCCAAATCATTAACGGCATTTTATTCCCAACATACACGCAGATTCTTAATTCGCCCCAATCATCCCGATTCCCAACCCCCACCCCCAACCTCGTGCCGGGATGTTTGAGCAGATTTTTAAAAGTCCATTACTGGAAGCACAAGTCAGGGTTAGGTCTCTTAAGGGGGAATATGGTTTCAAGCTGATTCATGTCAGCCAGCTGTGGAAGAAATACCAGTATCAAGCCTGACAATAGTCTAAGAGAGACATCACTATCTGGCCAACCCTTCAAGTAGGGGAGTGAGGCATTCTCCAGCGAATTAGGGTTTTAAGGATTGCTGTGACAGGTTTTTTTCTATCTTTTTTTCTCTTTCTCTCTTATATGGCTAAAGCCTTCTATAGGATTTAGACACTTTCCCTTTCACAAGGTTTATGGGGAAGGGCACAGTGTTTCTCATCTGGGCTGGAGCACTGAGAAGTGCCGCAATTCGTTTGCTATCTCCTTGCTCGTTTTCCGCGTGAATGATTAAGACACTAAGAAACTAAGGAATGATTTTATTTCCCAGCGCCTTATTGTAGAAAACAAATCCTAACCCCAGCGTCAGTTGGTCTGGCTGTGGGATAATAGGACGCACATTTATCCTTCTTTTTACGGATTAAGAGTAACAGCACCAGGGACCAGGGTATTCAATTGGTTCTTTAAGAGATTGCAAGCCGCCCTCCCCTAAAATAGACATAAAAGAAAGATAACTTAATTGTCTGTCGTTTGGTTTGTGTGTGTGTGTGTGTGTGTGTGTGTGTATGTGTGTGTCTGTCTGTGTTTTAATTTCAAATTACTGTACCCTCTCTATATCAAAGGCAACCAGGATATTAGGTTTATATCTAAAGCTATAGACAACATGGCGAGTGTCTCCGTTCACCTGTGTTCAATTATAGTTAATATAGGACATGGAATGCTTCAGTATTATGAAGTACATATATTTACAGGAGTGTTAAAGCTTATTTACAAACATAATTTCGTTATTGCATCCAACGTGGACTAATAAATTCGTTGTTTAACGGCAATTTCTTTCTCCAATGAGTATCCACCTAAATTATCGATTAGACGTCGCCAAGTTTTGGACTGTAGAGAACGGAACTTTATCGCGCTGTTTGCGCTTAGAAAGGAAGGAAAGATGCGATTGGAAATGTTTTCTAATGACACGGGATAAAGGACAGCAGATACTCCACCAAGGATTTATAGGAAGTCGGCCATTTGGGGCAAGTGGTCAGAAGAGCGTTGAAGAGCAGTGCAGCGCCTAATTCCCAGTTCAGTGGGAGAGAAAATAATTCGAGATAAGATTGCTTAAACCAGCCCCTCGATTATCGCGCAGGCTCCAAATTCAACACATCACCCCCAACACCGCCGCCCCTCACAAACGTGCACATACGCTTTGGAGGGCAAACGCGTGGAAGATGGAACCAATGGTAGCTGCAAATCGTAGGTTGCGCCGTCAAAGGCCATGTCAAAGATTAGTCCTGGAGAAGCGGAATTAGGTGCAGTTCGACATGAAGTGGTCATAGCACATGGCGGAAAAGAGAATGTTTTAAAGGGAAAACAATGCAACAACAACACGCTTGGAGATTTTTATTTTCTAGTCTTAGCTAAGTGAGATTTTCTTTTTTTATCTCCCCGTTGAATAAACAGAACAGTAGCATACAGTCCCATTCAAACTGCTCCTCCAAATGCTTTGGCCCATTCTCCTCCTATAGAATGTTTAAGCCTAAATGGTGCTGAACAGTCCAACTCACTGGACAGTGATTAATGACAGCGTCGTACAAAGGTTAACATACTTCGCTGAAAAGTCTGTTGACTGTGGTCGTTGTGTGTCAATGTGGAGCACTGCCTGCCTAAGAGAATCCTTTTGTTGTCTTCCCGCGATAACCAGCGATTGTATTCTCAAAATTCTGCCCACGAAAATTTGCCAACCTTCTGGCCTGGGACTTTAATAGTTTCCGTCCTCTGCTGGCATTGTACGCCTGAAAGGCTATTCAAGTGTTGGCGGCCACTGCAATAGACATGAAAAAAAGCCCATATGGTGGTTAGAAAGATGGACAAAAAATCTCTATTTTAAGGGAAATTCCTTAATCTTCAGTGTCCTACAATACAGCTGACAAACAGATTTCAACAAATTCCGAACGAGCCACGTTTTAAATGCAACAAGGCAGAACCAGGTCATTTGTCGTAGTTTACAACATTCTGGTTTTTTTAAAAAAAATCAGGGGAATATCGTAAACCAAAGGGACATAATGATAGAATCATTCTCATTGGGTTTCAGTCCGAATCGCGCTTTAAAAGGATTCGACCAACCATGAATCATAGGAAAATTGTTATCTCATAAACCTTGCAAAAATGTCACCGAGCAGTAATATTGACAGATGTTTACAGGATTGTGGTTGCATTGTTGCAAGAGTTTAATAACGTGGAGTGTGGACTGACAGTTACTCTTCTGCAGACCTGTTTAGCTGTTTAGCCAATCGAAATAGCTTTGTCTTATTTGCAGCAAATGTGCATCTGAAGAATCAGGTCTGTCTCGATTAAACCAAAATGTTAAACTATCGTCTCTGAATTTATTACGGCGCTCGTCACAAATTATGTTCCCTTTTTAAAAGTACTTATATATCACAAGTAGTGAACAGTGGTTTCTGCTAAATATAAGAAAATTATAGGCTGTTATTACTGATGATATAATTGCACCGTGCTTAGCAACTACAGACCGAGATTATGAGCTTTCATGCAACGTTCTGGTTACGTCAGCGGATGGAGAAATGCTGGCATTCAAACTTCTGGAACGTACAGTGTATAAAGTTAAAAAGTAACTCGACAGGGAAACTTTTGATAAGATCAGTAGCAATAGGAAGTACAGACAAATTATTGGGAATAACTACGAGCGAAGAGAAAATTCCAGGGTTACGTTTCCACTATAGATGCATTTTCAAACGGTTGTTCGTAAGATGCAATGGGGAGTAAGACTGGTGGTTACCCTTCCCCCATTGTAATTAATAGGAAAGGATTTCTGCTCTGGTATTTAACGCAAAATGCACGTTAGCTTCCTCCTGACACCAACGAAGATTCTATGTTAAATTTTGTAAACTGTTAGAGTGTCCAAATTGGCTTGATTATTTTTAAAGGGTGACTTTGCACTGAGCGTGCAGGGATATCACAGTCAAATGCCAAACAACGTGACGTAAATCTATTTGCTTCAAGTGGTCTCACACTTGATCCAGTAATCAGGTAGGCATTTGACCCATGAGAATACCACCTGGGCTACGGGTTGGCACAAAGATTCTGGTGGCCCAGAAACATTGGGAATCGTTGTCGATGCTTGGAGTTTCATTTTCTCTGTTCTATCTTCTGTCTCCTCAAGGAAAATCCAGTCAGATTTGTTTGTTGCTTAATTAATCGAGCATGACATAAAATATGGAGCATTGGAAAATGCCATTCGGCCGAACTATTCCATGCTGGTAGAGGGAATGACCTGTGTTGAGAAGGTTCGGATAATGTAACAAAATACAATGAAAGTGATGCAAAAATAAATTCATGGGGCTGAATTCTTTCCAGACACTCAAATCATATTGATTTTTTAACTTTTTTGACCTAGATTAAAGGAACCAGAGGATAAGAAACTAAACTAGTAATTCACAGTTGCATTTTGCGCAGACTGCACAGTCATAGTTTGAGATTGAGAAATTCAACAGCATTTATGAGAGAAGCTGCTACTTCTTTGGGTCGTCATTAAAACTAATATTCCAATTAGCTTCACGCCATAGTCCGTGTAGGAAGCCGAGTTCCTTTAATTTGGTCTTGCTTCCTCCGTTATTGCTCCAGATGGCTGTCAGCAACAGGAAGGAGGCGGTGAAAATACAAACTCCATCAACTCAAACAGCGACGATTCAGACGAAGCACAGATGAGGCTCCAGCTCAAAAGGAAACTGCAAAGAAACAGAACATCTTTCACTCAGGAGCAAATCGAGGCCCTGGAGAAAGGTGAGATTTGCAGTGGGATGGAGAGAGTGAATGAGAGGGAATATGTGAGACAGAGTGAGAAAGGCAAGAATCGAACTGCAAGTGTACACCACAAAGAGACAGAGTAAGTGAGAGCAGGAGAATGAGGGAGAATAGAAATTTGCGACCCTCAATGCTTTGCTATCGGATGACCTTGCTATTCCTTATTTTGTCAAGATCCACAAATAAACAAAGAAAAAAATTGTTCTTCCAGAATTCGAGAGAACTCATTATCCTGATGTGTTTGCCAGAGAACGGTTAGCGGCCAAAATAGATCTCCCGGAAGCTAGGATACAGGTAAACCAATGGCCCGTTTCTGAATGTGACTCAACTAGTGAAGTTGACTACATTGTGAACAGTAACACATCTGAAGCTGTTTGGTATATTTCTGAGAGCCCGGAAGATAAACATTTGTAAGATTTGTAATTTTTTTGTCGTGAAGGCTTAAAAATTTTTGAACTGATTATCAATTTTTGCCGGGAATTTGCACAATGGATTGGAATTCTTCTCCATTCGAACAATATACAGGGTGGACATTTCAGCTGCATACAGTACTGTCCGAGGATGGAGTGCCCAAGAAATATATTGCACAAGCTAAAATCCAATTTTAAACATGGAAATATTCTGATATTTCAGTTTGTTTCTCAAATTCTGATCCACAGCTGCTTTTTTTTTGTTCGGTTGTACTTCAGTCAAGCGCAGTACTTTTGGCAGCGCTCTAAGCTCTGCAAAGACTTGTATTTTTTCAGGTAGCATCTTCCATGACCACAGGACTCCCCAAGGCATTTTAGAGCCAATGAACCCTTTAGAAGACAGCAATTTAGAAGTCAGCCATAATTGTAATGTTAGAAACACATCAGCCAATTCCCCACTGCAAACTGTCACAGAGAGTAGTGAGATAATGACCATTTTTTTTGTCATGGTGGTCGAGGGGCAGACTTGGGCGGGGTGGGGGAGGGCGTGTGTTGAGAAGAGTGGCTCCATTTATATTCCACAAAATAGTGTCATGGGATCTTTTCAGTCCACCTTAGGAAGAAAATGGGCCTCTTTAACATCTCACTCGAAAACCAACACCACTTCACTAGCACTTTCAGGTGTCAAGCTGGAGTTTGTGCTCAAATCTGTGAAGTGGTACTTGAACCTATAACCTTGTAACTCAGAAGCAAGACTGTGACCAACTGGGACACAGATGACACTTGAAAGGATTGAATCACTCCGAGGCTTTGGATTCAAATCCCCTAAAGTGACTGGAGCACAAAAGCTAAGGACATACTTTAGTGCAGCACTGGGCACCATGTTCGAGGTGCCATCTTTCAAGTACATCAAGAAGTCGAAGCCCCATCTGCCCTAACCAATAATTATCTCTCAACCAACATCATAAAAAATGCTTAGGTGATCAACATTTTATTGCTGTTGTTGGGAGCTAGTTCTATGTGTTTGCTACTTTACAACAGTGAGGACTCTTCAAACGTCCCATTTAGATTCTAACAACTGTGGCTCAGTTGGTAACAATCTGGCTTTCGTAATAAAGTACTCGGGGTACGCTGCACTGCCAGAGATGCTGTCTTTTAGGTGAGGCCTTAACCTTTAATGCCTGCCCTATCAGATGGATATTAAAAATTCCATTGTACTACTCCAAAGAAGAGCAGGGCAATAATCCCGGATGTCCTGGCCAACATTTATTCCTAAACTAACAACAGGAAACCAGATGTTTTGGTCATTATCACATTGCCGTGTGTGGCAGCTTGCTATGCGCGTATCTTGTGTTACAACAGGGACTAAACGTAAAAAAAATGTTTGCTCTAAAGTGCTTTAGAATGTCTTATGGGCATGAAAGGTGCAGACTGTGGAAACGAAAGGCACATGCAAAAGGCGCTATAAAAATGCATATCTTTCTTTTGTTCTCTAGAGTTTGACATTCAGTCACCTCACTCTCTCTCCGACTCTACTTTTCGGCAGGTTTGGTTTTCCAACAGAAGAGCAAAGTGGAGGCGGGAGGAAAAGCTGAGGAACCAGAGACGACAAGCTAGCAACACCCCGAGCCACATCCCCATCAGCAGCAGCTTCAGTACCAGTGTTTACCAGCCCATCCCTCAGCCCACAACTCCCGGTGAGGACAGTGCGCCAAGTTAGATCCATGCGTTATGACAAGCTGCGCCAGAGAAATGCAATCTTAAGGATTTGGGGGTAGAGCAGAGTGTGGTGGGTGCTTTGACTGAAACCAGTACATTATCAATCTCAAAAAAGCTCAGAAAAGAATAGTGTAAAGTCATCAAAGGGGGACAGCATTATGAGAACAGGTTTAAAGTTGCCAACATTTCTTTTCCCAGATACATTCTCGCTAATATTGCAATAATTGCCCATCAATATTGTTTAATATGAAGGTTGAATGTCCGTCATGAACAGAATGACACGTACACTTTTGCAATAAATTGAGTGTTCAGACTTAGTAATTATGATTTCCCGAGAACTGAAAAGTGCAGTGATTACAATAAAAGGACATGTTAAAATGCTATCTGCTTCTGCGGCCCATTTGTCCCTCGACCCCCCGAGGGCATCGTAACAATAGAAATATGTTCTACGTGGGACTGAAGTCTTAATTGGGTCAGGGCTAATAGAATGCATTCCTTTGCAGCCGGAATTTTCCCAGTGTATTTTACTAGCGGCTGATGAGTTTAACTTTAATATAAAGGACTATCTGATAAAAGAGGCTTTTAATAATTTTTAAAGAAACAGATAACGGGCGTTAGTTGCGTCAGGGCGGCAATATAAAGGTACAATCAGGTCTTGTAACATGGATAGGACAGATTATTAAAAAATATTGAATAACCTTATCCCTTGAAATTCCGTTCAATTAATTATTTGAAATGTTGCTTAAAGTTGTGTTACACATTCAAAGCGTGAGTCAGTCAACGCCGGCCACAAGTCTTCAACACCATTCCCCGCCCCCCGCCCAGCGTATTTACCTATCATCGCCCCTCCATACTTTATCACCACCAACCATATTCGATAGTTAAAACAGTTGGGTATTATAAGTCTGAATTTCACAGTGCGGTTAAGTGACTAGCTGCATTACTAATCTCCTTTGAGTCGGGTGATCCTCAATCCAACTGTGCGTCAAAGTGACTGGTCAGGACATGGCAAACATCGTCTAGATTTTTTACAACTTGCTTGACTGTCCGGCCGCACCCGTTGGGAGTGCATTGAAATGGACACCAAGTGAGATCTGACTGAGCCAGTAAGGAAGACACCCCCACCCCCCAACCCCACACCTCACATTAAACAGCCGAGCTCCAGTGGCTGAAAGGCGGCCACGCGAGAAAAGAAAGGCCTGAGGGAGACTACAGATTCACGTTTCAACATGAATAGATCCCAATGAGATGACTTTGACATGGTAGATATGGAGAAGCAGTTTTCTCTTGTGGGGAAGTCCAGAGCAGGAGGGCAACACCTTACATGCTGAGCATTCTTCATGCTGAGTTGAAATCGAGAAGTCACCCCTCGAAAATTCCTCATGCTCGAGCTGGGGTCATGGATAATGTTGACATTGGTATGAATAGACATTTGTTCAGTAACAGGTAAAGTTGCCAAAGTCTCATCAGACCATAGTGCTGCTGTCTCATTAGATATTGAAGGTGGTGGTTTAACCCGAGGATCACCACACCTCAGACGAGAGGAGAGGTTGAGAAGGAGGAGTAAATAGTTATAAAGAATTATGGCAGAAAGACTGGTAAATAGAGTTAACTTGCAACTCAGTCATGATTTAATTCAATGGTAGGACAGGCCCCAATGACTGAATGGCCTTTCTCCTGCTCTTCTGATTGTCCAGCAAAGGTGTCGAGATCCTGTAACAAGTCAATTAGTGGGCGGGACTGGCCCATGAATAACCAAACCATCTCTCTCCATTCAGATAATTCTTAATTAAGTGTGATAAATTGAGGTGAATTCGTGCGCAGGGTTTAACAGTCAACTCTCACGTTCCAGTTTATCTCTAACACACAGTTTCGCTTCTTTTGTTTTCAGTTTCCTCTTTTGCCACAGGTGCAATGCTGGGTCGGGCAGACACATCCCTCACTAACACTTACAGCGCACTGCCACCGATGCCCAGTTTCAGCATGGCAAACAACCTGTCTATGCAAGTAAGTATGGAGCAGAACAAACAGAATCAACAGCCATTAAATACTTTCTCTACGGCATGCACAAACGGATGTTGTGTTTTCCATTTGTTTTTTGGAAAGTCGCCAGTGTCCAGCCAAACGCCGTCTTACTCCTGTATGCTGCCCAACAGTCCGTCAGTTAATGGACGCAGTTATGACACGTACACGCCGCCTCACATGCAGTCACATATGAACCCCCAGTCTATGGGCACCTCGGGGGCCACATCCACAGGTAAGTCTATGGAGAAGATTAATTGAAAAGTTGCCAGCATCTTCCATACCAGGCCCAGTGGTATTTGGATGGACCACTTATAGGAATTAATGTTTTAGCTGAATACTAACCTCAGTTCTCAGTGATTTGATCCCTGTAAATAAAATCATTTTTTTGTAAACCACTTATTTCGATCCTCTTAAACCATCAATTTTCCCCTGGATGAATATTTTGACAAAAAGATGCAAACAAGTATTAATAATGAATTATCAACGAATGCTAAAGATGCTATGCCTGACCTGTTAGTGAACGAATTAACCGGTTATTTGAACTTAGAAATTGCATTAGTATTTCGTTTGATGAACAAATTATGAAATCGGATCCTCAGTGTTCAAAATATGCTGCATAAGTATTTGCTAGTACAGGAAAAGACATTTGGACAGGTACATGATTGGAAAGATTTGGAGAGATATGGGCCAAACGGAGGCAAGTGGGACGAGTTTAGTTTGAAAAACTTGGTCGGCATGAACGAATTGGACCGAAAGGCCTGTTTCTGTGCTGTATGAGTCTCCGAATCTATGACTGATGGGTTTCTCCATTCCTGCTGGATTCATGAGTCAAAGTAAACTGTCATCGCCCGAGTTAATTATGAACCTGTAGCTTAAAATAGCGTCAGGATTTTAGCAAACATTATTAAAGCTCCCCAAAGCTCCGAGGACCGGAGCGCTCGAGTCTTATAATAAACAAGTTATGTTATTTTTGTTTTTGGAATTGTTTGGGGAATTAGCACTCACTAGTAATAAATAAATGCTTGTGTTTTTCTTCTGATTTTGTTTTGTTGGATTTCAAAATGGTCGCGTTGCACAACATCATTGTTATTGATGTAAGATTAGATTTCTTTTAAAAAAATTCATCGCGTGCAAAACAAAAGCTGCAAGCTCAAGAATTGTGATTTTTTTGTTTGTGTGTCTTAATAATGGTTTTGGTTCGATTTCTCAGGACTTATTTCCCCTGGAGTGTCTGTACCTGTTCAAGTGCCAGGAAGCGAACCGGACATGTCTCAGTACTGGCCCCGATTGCAGTAAAAAGGGAGAGTGGAAAGAGACTGTGGAGAGTCAGATGCCCAGCAGTATTTGTTTCTGAGAGGAAACTCTGAAGGTATCTTTGTTCTGGGACTGCGCCCGATACGTTCACTTTGAGAAGACCCACGTGGACTTGTGTGGTGCCTGGCGTGTGAAGTCAACGGAACAAAACGTTCTTTTCCCCCTCCCCCACTGAAATTCTTCAGTCGGTGTATTATTTGTAAATGGGCATTTCTGTATGTTTAAAACAAGAACAACTAGACTCGATGGATATTTGATACACGTTGGTCATGGGATGATTACAAGACATCATGGTCAACCTAGCGGCCATCAGTTAGGCCAATATCGAATGCTTCTACCACTACATTTCTAGATTTATGGACTTTGATGTTACCAACTTGTACCATTGCATTACACTAAATTTTATTTTAGGGGCGGGAGGGGGTGGGGGTGGGGGAAGGGAAGCCAACTTAGTTGTGTTAAAAGCGAACTGTATCTGTTTTGGTTCGCCCAAGGTCGTTGACTGATAAGTTTATGTGCAAAGGTAACAGAACTTCAAGGAAGTGGACAATTTGGTAGATAAAGGTAGATTGTGTCTTCGATATAATCCAATTTGTTATGTCGAAATGTAAGTATTTGTCTTCCCTAGAAATCTCCCGGAATGATTTCTATAATAAAGTTAATTTCATTTATATTCACCCGAATACGCTAGAGATGATTTATATCCACCCATGCATCATTATAGCCAACAACGTTCTATTTTTCTTCCTTAACTCCGTGCAAGCTAATTGTTCTGGTATTTGTATATAGATAGCTGCCACGTTCAAACTTTTATTTCTCGTGAAAGTAAAACGACGTTTCATACAAAATTAAACTGGTTATCAAGAGTTTTAAAACATTAAATGTTTCAGTTATGTTCGATTGCATATCAAAGCTTCAGTCAAGAATGATGTCCGAGATATACCAAAGCATACTTTTCAGTTACTACCTGCCTGTTTTAAAACATAGTATTGTGTTCATTTATTTTGTCAATAAATTCAGAGAGAGTTACTCTTTGGATTTATGGCGATCCTATCGCTTACGTTTTTTTAAAAACTACCTTTACCTGTTTATGCGGCTTAATTTTTAAGTGGAAAAGTAAAATAAACGCTATGTTATGGATGTATCATGGAATTCCTAAAATGATCTTACATGTCAACATTAGACTTTTAATCATTCTTGGATGGGTGAGTTGATAAATGTAACTGGTGATATTCACGTTTCGATGCAGTAAGCATTTTTTTAAAGTTCTGGCTTCAACACTGTAATTTTTGCTGTTTACACAGAATACAGCTACTAGCAGAAACAAAAGAAACTTGTAAAAATGTACATATTTTGTACAAGTATTAAAATGTCGATTGGAGGGTAACACCCCTAAATTATCAATTATGAATAATGTCGTTCTTTGCGCTTTAGCTAAAGTCATCTACTCTTATGGATCAAGGTCGAGTGACTTGATGTTTTTGCAAGATTCTACTAAACATTGAATAGAAACATAACCAAATTATTTAAACAAAGACAAGCATAAAAACAAACTTCAAAAATATTCATTCTCATTATTTATTTGTAGAAACTGAACTTTAGAGGAACTAAATATTATTATTACTCACGTTTGTAATCAAGTAAAACCAATTGTATCTCCAAGAATATAAAGGCATCTCAAACTCTTTTCCGCCAAAGAAAATAGTGCTGTTGAGGGCAAGTCAGATGCAAGTGTCCAAACTGAGATAATTGGGTGTTTAAAAACAGAAAGAGCTGCAGATGCTGTAAATCAGAAACAAAAACTGAAATTGCTGGAAAAGCTCAGCAGGTCTGGCAGCATCTATGGAGTGGGAATCAGAATTAACATTTCGGGTCCAATTACCTTTCCTCAGAATTAGATTTTTGTTGGGTAAGGGTTTAAAGAGCTATGGATGTAAGACGGGTAGATTTAATTCATTAATTATACAGATCAGCCATGATTTAATTGACTAGCGGAATAGCCTGGAAAGACTGAATGGTTCACTCTTCTTCCAGAACTGGAAGACATGAACGGAAATTCTTATAAATTTACCACAGTTATCAGGGCAACTGAGACATGCTTATCATACATTAGCCTTCATAATGATAAGTTCCGCAATTATTTCGGTTATTTCAAGTTCAAGTGCAGTTTTACCACTATACTTTTAATGCATGCAAGCCAATTTGGAAGTCACATGGAATAACCAACAAAGCCAGAAACCGTTGGAGAAACTCAGTAGGTCTGGCAGCATCTGCGTTTGGACGCCCTGAGCACTTGTAAAATTATTTTTTTTTAAGCGGTATTTTTTAACTCGAGGACAAATTCACTAAGCGTTTACAAAGCTAAATTTTTCTGTCTTATCGGAGGTGTTAGGCTTGAGCAAGTCTCGATCTGACGTAAAAATCGAAAATGGTGCAAACACACAGCAGATCAGGCAGAGTCAGTGGAGAAACAACGTTAACATTTCATAAAGGCTATCAAGTGAACCGTTAACTTGCTTGTCAGTCGCTGCGCAGCCTGAGCATCTCCAATATTTTCAGTTTTTATTTCGATTTTTAATAAATTTGATTCTTCGTTGGGCAGGAAGCTCTCTGCGAGTTGAATGCTGGCTTCATGTGGCTCGCTTTCAAGCAGATCAGGTTTAGGTTATGCAGTAGGAGAGTGAATGTTGGGAAATGGATCATTTTAAAATACTTGCACAACCTCTGGTACTGATAGTCACCATTTTGTTTTCCCTTTGAAAAGTTAGTTCACGTGGCATAACCTTCGTTGCTAAATCATGGCGCTGCTGGTATACGACTGATTCTTGGAATGCATTGGTTCATTGGAAATATTGAGCAGTTTAAGGATCCAGAGGGATGACTTAATTGGGTGTAAACGGAGCGAGATTCCTTGGGGCACTGTCAGCTTGGACTATGAACCTGCAAGTTAGTACGTGAGGATATTTAATCTTCAATCCTGCCTGCTTTGATCTCTCACAAGTATAGTCATCATTTGTTGAAACCACATCCTATATTGGGAAGTACAGGTGCTAGATTCGCGTGAATGCCAAGTACAATTTAGCCGACACGTCAGCTCAATAGAATCAAGCATGAATTAATCTCTCCTCCACTTCATTTTCACTCCAATTGAAAGTGAAGCTTCATTCAATGCAAGTGTGCATTTCAAAAATGTCCGTGCTGGAGGACAGACCTCTTGATACCCTTCTTTGAGATGCTTCAAGTTCAGAGAAAGGTAGATACTTCTCTCGCCTACTATTAAAGGAAGAACAATGAAATCAATGAAATACGTTTGAAGTTTGTAGTCCCAAATCAAGAGTCGCAGAAACAGCACTAAGACCAACTGCTCTCTTTCAGCAACGTTGGTTGAGAGTTAAATATTGTTCAGGAAACTTGGCGAGAAAACCATTATCCAAAGGTTCCCATTATTATCAAAAACATATCGTTGCAAGGAACTTTGCATCTTATTTTTTTGCAAAGGAAGAATGGCGCTGACACTGGGTTGAAGTAATGGACATATGACATCATTTCGAAGTTGAAGCAAAGGAACACAAGCGTAGTTGGAAATTGGAGACATTAAGACAGAGACAGTCAAACAGAGAAGACCATTTCAAACACCAGGACAATTTATTGGTTTGGGCATCAAATTCTTCGAACAGGTAGTTCTCGAGCATTTTCGATATTATTTGAAAGAATGATCACAAAGGAACAAATAGCTATTTCACACTAAAACTACAATTCAAGTACGTACTACATAGATCAATATTCAGACGAAGGGATATTAAATCGGACCCCTACACTAGCCTGCTTCAACGTCTCAGTATCCCTTATGATTAGACGTTAAAAAATCCCATATTTAGGTAATGTGATTCTGATTCCACTAAAATGATTTAAATAACATTTTGAATAAAGGATTTCAAATAAAATGTGAAATTTATATTCACAGTATGTTTTAAGAACTTGGTTCAAATGCCGAACATCTAAATTATAGGTACAGGTATCCTTTAACTTCACTATTTGGTTTGAGACTGTTTCTCTGGTGTTGGCTATGGTTATGCTAATAAACTTTAATTATCAAATGACATGGAAATACTGTAAGGATTGTACTGTACATTCTAAGGATTGGTATGTTGACACCAAAGTTAAATTATATTTTAGGATAACACCTATCTGTCAAAAAGTGCACATTTTAATTCATATTTAGCTCAGGTTTTGATAGCTATTCTCCAGTAATTTAACAATTGTTCTGTTGTGTCTTGATTGGCATGCTGTTAGGGACCAACTCACAACGTATACTAGAGCCTCTGGACGTCACTTTAATTCTACTTTGCTTCATCTACTTTTCTCTTAAGGTTTCAGCCATTCACAGAGGTAACATTTTGCGGTGATCCTTTCATTAGATTTCTGGCAAACTGACCCTCTGATGTTTATCTTGTACTTCATGACCGTAGATACCCCAATTCCTTATTCAGGTGATTGGCAGGCATGCAACTGCCTTCTCACAGCTTCCAAGCTAAATTTACTAACTACCTTCTGCCACAAGGCTCTGTGAGGACCTCTATGGATTGGTTCTTTGAGCTACCAACATTGTAAATCCTCCAGCTGGATTTCTCCTCAGTACATCCAAACTGAGCTTGAGCCCCAATTGCATTCTGTGCTATGAATGACACAGGCATTTTTTTTCTGCTTAAACTCAGGCCTGATTAATGATCATCTCTTGGTGGTTCTCTCAATCCAGTGAGATGCAGTCTGCATTAAAGCAAAACCACAATTGCCTTCCCTCTGAATAAAATAACAAACAAAAGGAACTTCAATGCCCACAGTCTATCTCAGTGAGGACAGAGCACTCTTTGGGATGATCTCAAATAGAAATGTAAGATAATTATTTTAACTTAACTGGGATCGTTAGTTGTTTTTCCCTTATTACTGGAAGTTAAGTATTATAATGAAATAGACATATTGGTAATAGACATTTTGTCTCATAAAAATCTAACAGTCTCAATTCTGAAATTTTAATTGATCTCCAGCCTCAGTTGTGCATTTTACCCATAATATGACATGGATGAAAAGTTTCACCTGAAACTGACAAATCTTTTAGTGAAATAGTTTAAATGTCAATCTTAAAGGTTTCTAGCTGGTCTTGTGAAGTTTTATTCAATATAAGGAACGTGTTACTTGGTGCAGAGACATAAAAGTGTCTGATTGAAATATTAGTAGGGAATCAAAAAAAAGATGTGCACTTATATAGCACTGGGAGTCTAAAAGCAGCCTCAAGTCAATAATGTATTTTTAGGAATACTTTTATTTGTTACTGCTGTAACAATGAAATGATGGCAGACAATTCGCACTCAGCAAAATATTAAAAACTGCAATGTGAAAAATGACCTAACAGTCTTTTGTTTTATACAGTTATTTGAGAGATAAGCGTTGATGGGTACATCAGGATAATTCCCCTACTTTTCTTCAAAATAGTGACATTGGATCTTCTATATTCACCCAGGCAAACTGGTTGGACCTTGGTTTAACATTGCATCAGAAAAATAGCACCTCCAAAAGTGCAGAACTCCTTCAGCACTGCAACAGATAGAAATTTTGGGTCAGAGGGAAGAATACTACAAACTAAGCCATAAGTGAAACATATTAACCTTCATTGATAAACATACTACATAACTTCTGCAAGAGAAAGAGAAATCCATCATTCAATAGTCATATGTGTAAGAAAGGATTCTATCACTTCTTCTGGAGAAAGGGAATGTCTCTTTTTCCGTTTGGAACTTGGTGAAAAGATTTTTTAGGAATACTTTATCAGTGTACAGCAAGTTTGTTAGATGGGAACCAAGGGCCAGAAGCACAGAAAATGTGTATGTCATTCTAACAGTACTGAGTTTCATTTGAACAATTTATTAATAATATTATTAAGTATGTCAAAGTGAAACCAGTGCTACAAATTTAAACCATGGAAAAGAAGGATATAATGTGCTGCCCAGAATACATCCAATAAATAGAATTATGCTAAAATTCAAAGCTTTAAAATGATCAACTCCTACAAGCCCTATTTGCCTGTTTGAATGCTAAGTGCTGCCTTGAGGACATGTTGGTGACTATTGTCATAAAATAAAAAGGGTATACTTTATTTATCTGGCATCTGGTTGCTAGGGAGCAGTGTAAAATGTATTAAATACACATTGGAGGCAGCAATAAATTTTACTATTTCCCCAAGACAGGTGGTTAGGTTTGCTATAGCTGATTTTTTTCTGCACTAACTTTCCTTTGCAAAAGGTCATATGGCAAACTGCATTTGCGTTTCTCTCAATAAAAAATGTGGCACTACAAGTGTTGGTTGTCTTTTTTCCTCGGCTCATTTCCCTGAAATAGCATCTGCATTAAATAATTATAACATTGTCATATTCATTTTAAAAGGATAGCAAATAATATGGCACTTATGTTATTTTTTTCTAACATTATTATCCATATTGCAAGCAAGTGACTTGAGGAAAGCCAAACATGGTAGGAATGTTAATGTGTGTGTCAGAACATTACCGAATACATCTAGAAATGACTTTTCACCTTATATCACAAGATGAAGAAAGCCTTTCAGCTCACTGGATCCTATTCCTTCAGAATACACCAATTATTTACATTTGTCTTTAACCTTGTAGAATGTCTTCAGGTGCTTCAAAAGTGCAGTCATACATAACATTGGTATTGAGTGAAAAAACAGGATATTAAAGCATGAAAAATCATGAAAATCAGAGTGAAGGGAATTTCAGACCTTGGGCCTTGATGGCATCGCCATGAATGGCAAGGCAAAGAGAGTGGAGGATGCACAAGAATACCAACGATCTTCCCTTTACAGATCAGAATTTAGTTGATACCTCAAAAAGCCCAATGTTTTGGTCTTAACCACTCTTCTCAATAACCTCTGCCAGCTGTTGATCAAATTGTTTTAAAAAAAAACTTCCTAAGGACTGCCCTTAAATCAATCTTCTGCATAGGTTGCTAACACTAATAGCAGACTCATGTTTAAAACAAGGTTGCCATTGTGTCATTCAGAACTGACATTTTTTTCATAGCTGCCCAATATAAATATGTAACGTTCAACTTTTTACAGTGCAAAATTAACATCTTGCTGCATTATCCTATTGATTCTTCTATCATTAATGCATCATTGTAGTGAAAATTATAATAAACCTTACTGTACATTGTCATTGTTTTTACTTAGAAACCATAAAAAATTGCTAGAGAAACCCTTTACACATTTTTCCCAATTTTTTTTTAAGATATCAGGATGGCTGTCCAGCCTACATGCTTCACAGTCATTTTATTTATAAAATTGGCCTATCCTCAATAGCATCTACATTCTGAATTTCTTCCTGACATAACTATTTAGAATCATAATCACTTCTGGCATTTTGATGTGGAATTCTGATTTTTTTATATCTACAGAAGAATTCCATTAATTTAGAAACAGCCTATTTAAATACTGACTACTTAATAAAAAAATAAAAGGACTGCAGATGCTGTAAATCAGGAAACAAAACAGAAATTGCTGGAAAAGCTCAGCAGGTCTGACAGCTTCTGTGAAGGAAAAACAGAGTTAACGTTTCGGGTCTGGTGACCCTTCCTCAGAATGGACTATTTAATGCTTGTCCAACTTTGTATTTTGGTCATCTTCTAGGTAATCCTGTCATCTGGAAGCGATCCAAAACTGAGCTTTAAATAAAGAGATACAATGTTCTTTAAGATATGCTATGTGTAAAATTAAGGATTGTTCCATGTTAAAAAAACTCTGGATGAAACAAACTGATTTTTACTACAATATACTAATCTACTAAAACAACATGGAATATTCTCACAATCCTTGAAATATAATTCCTCACCTACAACAGAAAAGTACTGAAACTAGTTTCTTCTATTGATTTTTTGAATGTCTGGTGAAAACCTTTATATAATCTTTTAGTTATGTTATTGTCTATTTTTGATTCTTGTCAAATTTTGCACGACATTTTCATTTCGTTGTGTACTTGCACTTTATAAGAATATTTACATGTAGTTTGTGCACTTTTTAAAATAACAATCTTTTATGTTTGAATAAATATTTGAAGAGAAATATATTAAGGGCTTATTGGACAAGGCAGGGGAATGGCCCTCATTTCAGATTTCAAAGAACCAGCAGGGATACAATGGAGTGAATGGCTTGAATTTTTGCTATATCTGCAATGGATCTTTGAACTTCCTATTCCTTAAGAGTTGAAATAGTAAAATATTGATAATTTACTGGTGAGTTAAAAAAGCAATTCTTAAAATGTCTACATAATGTCCTTACAAGCAGTATTTCTCATTAAACAAAGAGGAACGTTGTATGGTTAGAAGTACAGAATCAGCTAATGACAGGCAGTGATGGATAGTTTTGACTTGGGTTGCCAGCAAAAATGACAGTTATAGTTAGCACACTAATCTGAAGAGAAATCTGAATGACAGTCATGTCCATCCCACCAGTGAGTGGGGCTAACAACAAATCTGGTGACTTACAGTAAAAGGATGTCAGCATAATATTTAGCATTTTATTGTTAAAAAATGTGCTACCTGAATTATGAAAATTGCTAAGATTCAATACAGCACTTGGAATTATAAATATGAAATGAAAAATGTCTGCCCACTTAGCCCAGAAATAGATGAGGGGAACCATTAATATAGGATAGCCCGGTACAAGCACACACTGAAGCCTGAATGATAGCTTAAACATAGTCATACATATTTGATATACAGTTCTGAATTAACAGGCTATTAGCTTCAAATTTTGCTTGCTAATGCTCGTGTGAAGTACCTTGGGATATTTCACTATGTTAGAGGTGCACGTGTTGGCATTTGCAAGTTGTTGTACTCATTCCACTGCTACTTGACTTATTAAATTATATCACATCTACGAATCTTCCAATATTTAATTCAGTTGCAAATGACAAAAGAAAGAAAATTGCAGGTGAAACATTGTAAAAAAGTTAAAACTGATCCACATAAGATCTGACAAGGGTCATTTGTTTCTGTCACCGCAATGTGATTACAATTTGTGAGTATCAGCAAGGTATTAGGGCTGATAACTGACATAAAGTAAAATGTGCCTTTCTCCTGTCCCTGCATTCTCATGCCATACAATGAGGAGCTCATGGACATTTTTGTTACTAAGCTTGAGTCCTTTCTGTTTGGTGCACCTGCAGAATCTTCTCTTTCATTTGTCTAACAGGCCAATCTTCTAAACTTTTCCATTGCTGTAGCATAAATTTGTATCCTTCTCTAGTTTGTTTACCTTCATGCTTCTCCAAACTCATTTAGCCCTTGAGACCCATATCATGCTTCCTGACCCTGTCTTTACTAAACTTTCCAACCAACTTCTCCTACTCATGCTCATGTTACAACAATATTGTTAGCTGTCTTTTCTTTTTAGTTGTTCTCCCTTCAAATATGTCATCATCATGCCTAATCTCAAAAAAACTCTTGACCCTGCCTTTCTTGAAAATTACCACTGCTTCACCAATTCTTCTTTCCTCTCCGAAGTTCCTGAACATGTCCTCCCTCAATAGTTATGAAACTCAATGTTTGAAGTCCCCAAACAGAATTTTGTCCCTACCATAGTCCAAAAACAGTTTTCATCAAAATCACGGCTTACTTTTTTTGTGATTATGACAAAGGTAAATTATCTCACCCTATTCTTGTTATCTTTTCTGCAGCCTTTCGCTCTACTACTCACACCATCCTCTTCCAATGCTTCAGTGCCATTGTCCAATTGGGTAGTTCTGGTTTCACCTAGTTTCTTTGTCATTTAATTATGGCCAGTAAGTCATTACTCCTGCATACCATCATGGACCCCTCCTATGTCCTTGGCATCAGCATAAAAACATACAGTATTAGTATTCACATGTAGGCTATCTACAGCCAACTGTAGCTCACCACCACCACTCTTGGCTTTAACTCTAGATTTTTGACTAATTCAGTACTGTGCTGGCTGGGTTTCCACATTCCACATTTTCTCCATAAACTTGAAATTATCCAAAACTCTGCTGCCTGTATATTAATTTGCACCAAGCTCTATTCCCTATGCTCACTGACATACATTAGCTCCTGGTTTAACAATGCCTGAATTTGAAAGTTATCATCCATGTTTACAAATCCCATCATGTTCTAGCCCAAACCTATCATCGTAATCTCCCTCAGCCCCAGAAATCTCTGAGAAATCAGTAAAGATCCAACTCTGGAGTCTTGAGCAACTGCAATTTTAATTACTCCACTACTGGTGTTTGTGTTTTCAGTTGCCTAGGCTCAAAATTCTGGAATTTCCTCTCACCTCTCTTTTCTCCCTTAAGGCATTCTTTAAAATCTACCTCTAATTCTAAGCTGTCAGTCATCTCACCCAATATCTTTTTATGTGGCTTAGAGTCATATTTGTCATTATGCTCTCTTTAAGCACCTTGGTACATTTTATTATTTAATGTTTCTATACACAGATCAGTTGTGTATTCATTCATGGGCCATGAACATTGCGCTAATGTCTTTTTAAAAAAAAAATCATAAGATGTAGGCACCATTAACAAGGTCAGCTTTATTGCTCATCTCTCATTGCCCTTATAATAGTTGTGAACAATGTTCTTAGGCTGCTAATGCCTTGAGATACAGGTATTCCCATTGTTCAGGTGTGCCAGGATTTGCATTCAGTAACGGTAAAGGAATGTTGACAGGTGTGAAAAGGAGGAACTGGGACCGCTTTGCTGACAGCAAACCCAAGACACTGCCAATAGAGATGATAGTGGTGATGGGGAGAATAGTAATCAAAATGGAGAATACAGGTTACGCTCTAAGTTGTTGAACTCAATGATGGAAGTGCCAATGGAGCAGGCTTTTGTTTTAGATGGTGATATACTGTGAATTATTGAAGCTTCACTCATCCTGGGAAGTGGAGCATAGTTTATCATACTTGTGCCTTCAGGATGGTGAGAAGGCTTTCAAATTAGGAAGTGAGTTACTCACCACCAAATATCCAGTTTCTGAAGTGATCTTGCAGCCGCAGCATTTATGTCTTGCTCACTTATGTTTCTGATCAATAGTGACCTATTAAATTTAAACAGCTGTGATTCAGTGATGATAATCTGGTGAAACTCAAAGACAGACTCTGTTTAGTTGGTTCTTATCTAGCATCAATATCAACAAAATAAAGGAGCTGGTCATTAATTTTAGGAAGTGGAGTGAAAGGCACACCTCTGTCAGTGTCAATGGTGCTGAGGTGGAGATGGCCGAGAGCGTCAAATTCATGGGAGCGATAATCACCAACATTCTGCCCAGGGGCATCCACATAGATACTACGGTCAAGAAAGCACAGCAATGCCTCTACTTCTTTAGGAGGCTAAGGAAATTCAGCATTTCTATAAACACTTTTACAAAGTTTTATAGATGCACCACAGAAAGCATTACAGCATGGTATGGCAACTGCTCTTCCCAAGACTGAAAGAGACTACAGAGAGTTGTGAACACAGCACTGTCCATCATGCAAACCGGTCTTCCAGCCACTTTATCTATATTTCTCGCTGCATCTGGAAAGCAACCAACATAATTAAAGACATGTCCCACCCCGGTTATACTCTCTTCCACCTCCTTCCGTTGGGCAGAAGATACAAAGGTTTGTATACACGTACAAACAGATTCAAGAACAACTTCTTCCCCGCTGTTATCAGACTTTTGAATGGACCTCTTTAATGTTAATGTTGATCTCTTACTGCACTTCCTCAGCAGCTGTAATATTGTATCCTGCATTCTGTTCTGGTACTCTGATGCACTTGTATAGTACAATCTGCCTGTAAAGCATGTAAGACAACACTTTTCACGGTACCTCAGTACAGGTGGCAATAATAAATCAAGTCATTTAACAGCCCAAATGTAAATGTTGTCCAGGTCTTGCTGCACGTGGACATGGTACTATGGACATTGCTATATTATCTGAAGAGTTACAAAGCAACTCAACACTACGACCATCAGTGAACATTCCCATTCTGACCTTGAGGGGATAAAAGGCAATTGATCATATGGCTAAAGATAGCTGGGTCTAAGACATTTAAAAACTCCTGCGCAATTTCCTGGGATTGAGATGTGGTCTCTAAAAACTACAGCCATTACCCTTTATGCGAGGTAAGATTCCCGCTAGTGGAGAGATTTTCTCATTCACATTGGTTTCAATGTTGCTTGGGCTCCTTGATGTGACATTTGGTCAAATACTGCCTCAGTGTTATCACTCTCTTTGTACCAGGTTTCAATGTAATGTGGTCTTTGGCCGAGTATTCATGGCCGAATCCAAGCTGAGCATCTCTACTTTATTGTGGTTTGATAGAACTGCTGACACCTTCCATCGCATTGTGCACTGTTGACCAGATTGGAATTTTCCTGTTCTTCGTGTAGAGGATGCTATTTCTTCTCCATCTCCAGTTAATCCGAGAAGTTGGAAATATAACTCAGTGATTGGATTTTGATTTGATTTGATTTATTGTAGTTACGTGTACCTAAGTAGGGTGAAAAGCTTTGGGAGCAGTACAGGCTCATCACAGTAAGCAAGGACATGCAGATTGTAGGGTGCTTAGACTGAGCGAGGCATACACATTACACTGCACAGGAGGTGCACGAACCAACATCAACATTACCTGAAGTTAGAGAGTTCATTCATCAGTCTAATAATGGCAGGGAAGAAGCTGTCCTTGAACCTGTTAATGTGTGTGCTAGTGCCAGTGATTTGCTAGTGTTGGGAATATGTACTAAAATTCATGGACTATGTGGACAACTGCATGATACGGAACTGTTTGGATACTTTCAGGTTTGAAAAGCTTTCTTTACCATGTGGTTTCCTGGAAAATTTGGTCTACAGTTTAATGCGTGTTGTGATCTGCCAGCTGTTTACATTAAGTCAAATGATGTTGGAGAAATAGACAAGCAAAGCTTTTATGGAGATAAGAGGTAAGGTTTATGGCTCTTAATTGCTGGAAAATCTGGCTTTGGAAAAGATCATGAGTGTTGCTGTGCTAGTGGTAGACAAACAAACTTTTCCAGAATTGGTTTCTGTTTTCTCAAACCTTGATGTTCAGTAAGGAAGGAACCTCAGAAGTTGCAGGGATGTCTCTCCTACACTGAGTAGAAATTCTTGGGAAACTGATTAACTCTTGGTATTACTGACTACCTCATAGACCCTGAAAAGCTGAACTGTGGCCACTTTCCAAAGACTTAGATCCAGTTTGATTTCAAACTGAACTGGAGACTTTCCATCAGTTTACAGCTGTCAACAATTCGATTTTGTAAACAAGAAACCCAGTAGACTGTGAGAAGTCATCAAGTTTTATTCTTTATTTTAAGGCTCTTGGCGAATAGTATCTGAGTCATAGAGATCTGCAGCATAGAAAAGATCCCTTTAACCCATGCATCCATGCTGGTCAAAAAAAAAAACAACCACCAACTATTCTAATCCTATTTTCAGGCATTTGGCCAATATGGTATGCCTTGGCACTGCAAGTGCACATCTAAGTACTTTTTAAATGTTGCAAAGTTTTCTGCCTCTACCGCTCTTACAAGCAGTGAGTTCCAGATTCCCGCCATCTTCTGGGTGAAAATGTTTTTCCTCTGGACCTTCTGCATCTTATCTTAAATCTATGCCTCCATCAAGGGGTAAGGTTTCTTCCTGTTTACCCATCTATGTCCCTCAGAATTTTATACATCTCAAGTCCCCTCTCAATCTTCACTGCTCTAAGAAAAGCAACCCCAATCTATCCAATCTCTCTTCATAACTGAAACTGTTCAGCTCAAGCAACATCCTAGCAAATCTCCTCTAGACCCTCTCCAGTGCTATCACATCCCCCCCTATAATTTGGATTCCAGAAATGCACACAATACTCTAGCTGAAGCCTAACCAACATTCTAAATAGTTCCAACATAACCTCCCTGCTCTTAAATGCTGTGCCTTGGCCAATAAAGCCAAGTGTACCATATGTCTTGTTAATCACTTTATCCAATTGTCCTGATACTCTAAGGGACTGGTATATATGCACACCAAGGTTCCTCTGATATTCTTATTTCCAAGGACCTACTATTCATCACGTATTCCCTTGCCTTGCTTGTCCTGCCCAAGTTCATCATCTCACATTTATATGGTTTGAATTCCATTTGCCACTATCAGTCCATCTGATTTGCCCATCTATTTCCTCTGGTAGTCTAAGACTATCCTCCTCACTATTTACTACCCTGCCAATTTTGTATTGTCTGCAAACATACTGACCAAACCTCCTATATTTAAGTCTAAACCATTTATATAAACCACAAAGAGCAAGGGCTCCACACTGACCGTTGTGAGATCCCATTGGTCACAGACTTCCAGTCAGAAAAAACACACCTCAACAATCATCCTCTGCTTCCTGCCATTATTCCTCTATTGCCTTTTTCTTTAAAAACAAAATACTCTCCATAGAAACTGTTGTGTTTTGTATAATGCAAGTGTGTCTGTGCTGGGATTAAGGACACATAGTTCTAATTTTGATCCTAATTTAGGTGGTAAGCAGTTTTTTTGATTTATTTAAATGAACAGGTTTCATGTTATAATAAGCGGATTATTTTGAGTTTGTTATGGAGGACTGGTCAAAGTTTCTTTTATTCTGGTTATAGTGCAAAAGCAAAGTAAAGTAATCGGTTATGTTGGAGATTGAATCAACACATTTATACACAGAATGATACAATGGGTAGAGTAGTAGGACTTGATTGTTTCCGATTGTCACAATTATAACATTAGGGTACTTCAAAGGTCAGGTAAGAGTCAAAATACTTTGCTGTGGGTTTGAAGTCATAGATAGTGTAGACCAAGTAACGGTGATAGCTTCCTTTCCATGAAAGGGCCTTAGAGAACTACTTGGGTTTTTAAAAATTCGATACTTTTTTTCTGAAGGAGAGGTAGCCTGTATCAAGAAACCAGCAGGGCATCCAAAGCTTCAGTTCAAGGAAGCTGTCAAAAGAGACATAAAATCTCATAATATCAATCATAACAAGTGCAAATCGCTAGCTGACAATCAATGTAAAAGGTAACACCAACTGTGGGCAGGCATTTACTACCACATTGATATGCTTTCAGAAGCTCCAAAGCAGTCCTGCAAACAAGACAGCAACACAAAGGCAGAGATCATCCTATTTATTCTTTTTCCACTGTCTTTATCTACCATTCCCAGATATTCATCATGAAATTCACTTCCAGAACATTTTTCCACTGCGTGTCTTCCAAGCTTTCCTGCCCTCTGTGTGCCTGAAGATGTAGTTAGTTCCTTAATACCTTCATGGCCTTACCTCTCCCTCTGTTTATCACTGCCTGCAGTCTTCCAACCCTCTGAAGAACCAGCACACCTCCAAATCTGGTCTCTGACAAAATCTTGGTTTTATTTCAGTTCAACCATTGACAGTCAGGTCTTTTCAGCTACTGAGATCCAAGCTCATGGATTCGTAAAAGCAAAATACTGCAGATGCTAGAATCTGAAATAAAAACAGAGAATGCAGCAGAAACTCAGCAGGTCTGGCAGAATCTCTGGAAACAGAAACAGAGTTAATGTTTTGAGTCTGATATCAAACTGCCTCAGAATCCTGAAGAAGATGTTAAATATTAACTGGTTTTCCCTTTTGGTTATTTACAGCACTGAAGACGACCATTCGGACCATCATATCTGCACCAGCCAAGAAAGATCTGACTACATTAATCTCATTTTGTAGCTCTTGGCCCATTGCCCCAGATGATATAGCGATGTAAGTGAACATCTAACTATCGCTTAAATGTTAAGAGTTTCTGATTCAACTACCCTTTCAGATAACGAGTTCCAGACCCTATCACCCTCTGGGTGAAAGAAAAAGCTCTGAAACTCCCTTTTGAAATTCTTCTGGACCCCTTTTTTTCAATAAGATGTTTTTAAAATCCTACTTGTTTGGCCTAGCTTTGACCTGCTATGAACTTATGTGATTCTATGCCAAACTATGTCTAATATTCCTGTGAAATGCCTCAGGTTGTTATTTTAGAGTAAGGAGTCAATTTGTTATTTTGAATTCTTTTTTTTTTCAGATGTAGTATTAGTCAGAAAGATGTATAAATTATGTTTATGCTTAGAATGGTTCCATTTTATTGCTACAAACAAACATTTATAAACGACGTACTTTAATTTAATAAAGATTTTTTCACAAAGGCAACTTGGAATAATTCATGCCTTGTCACATTTCGCAGAATCCTCATTCATGTGGAATGAATTACATTGCTGTGTAGGTAAAGGTGACAACTTCTATATCTTCAAAATGGTGGGAGAAGCAATGTATATTCTTGTAAAAAATTATTCAACCAAATGCAAATTAGCTTCCTTGAATCTTTTCTTCAATTCATGGGCTGGGAATAAATATTTTTATTGTTTAACTTTGACTTTTTTCTGTAAATATTAAGTGAATAGAATTAACTGCTCAAAATTTATTGTACAGTCAACTTATAATCACAATACAAAAATCAAATCATAGTGTAAGAAAGATAAATGATCCTTTTAAAATATTTTTTGTTGAACGATTCACTTCTGCTTGTTACCTGGAAAATATATTTATTGCTTTTACATACACACCAAAGATTTGTAATCACACTTTGCATATGATGAGAATTCAGAATGAAATGGTTAAATAAAAATCATTAGAAGTCCAGGTGCTCCTTGCCTCTGGCTGCACCACCACATCCTGTGCTCAGCAGTTTGGCTGATTCTGCCAGATTCTGTTTGCTTGATCGGCTCACTGTGTCTGACAAGTCTGGAGGCAAATGCAGTCTCTATTAAAGGGAGAGAGAAAGAGAGAAAGAAAAGCAAATTCAATGTGTGTTAGGGTCTTCAAAAAACATCTCAGAATAAAATATATAAATTGCAAATAAAAATGTATACTCATTTCATTTGTGATAGAAATGTGAATTCAACTGCACAAGAAACAGTACTTCAACAAGTTATTGTTGTCTCTTTTAAAAAGGGAAAGGTGAGGAGTGCATGTTCAGGAGTTAGAAGCAGATTGAGTGTTCACATGGGAACTCATGGTACAGGACAAGATATGCTTTAAGTAAGGCTTATTTCAACTCGAAGTGTGTTATGTATTAATTGGATTTATCAGTATTTGAAAGGTTTTATTAACAATGCTAATAAGTCTTATAAGTTTTCTGTTAAGCATGAGCAAGGTTAGCTAAGGAATAAAGGAATGGCAAGGATGCTTTGATCTTAATGCACGTCCTACGCTATGCAAGAACTCCAAGGTATTTCCTATAACCTAGATAACCATTTGTCCAGGAGGTATTGTCAGTTGCAGCTTGAGCTCCAGTTTTGGAATTGCAGCAGCTTTCATTGCTGTGATGCAACTTTGAGGCTAAGCACTAGGTGGACATTTATAGATGTGGTCATTCCACAGTTTATGCATATGCAGGGAGAAAGGAAATGAGTGACTGACCACCAAGCAGTCAAAAAACAAACAGGTAGATAATACAGGAGACCCTTGAGTACATCCTGCTCTTCAAACAGTATTCAGTGGTTTGTCTGGGGAGAGCATCCAGAGCCCTGTTCAGTACATCTCCAGTGGCTCAGCTGTACATGGCAGTACAAAGGAGTTTGGAAGATACTACTGTGATAATAATGTGATTTCACAGTTATGGAAACTGATAAATATTTCTGGGGTCACAAATGTGAATTCAAGATGCAGTGTTGCCTCCATGTTGCAAGGTCACAAATGTCACTGCAGTGACTGCAGGGCATCCTGAGTGGGGAGACTGAACAGTAAACAGTCATGGCGCACATTGGAACCAACAACATAGGTAGAAAAAACAATGTGGTCAAGCAGTCAGAATTAAGGGACTAGGTACAAAATTAATAAGCAGCACCTCCAAAATCTCTAGAATACTTCCTATACTACAGAAGAGTATAGAAATAGGAGGAAGATAAAATAAATGAATGTGTGGCTGGAACGTTTTTGCAGGAGACATACTTGAGATACTTGAGATCAGCTCTGGGGAAGGTGGGATCTGTTAAGACTGGATGGTTTGCACCTGAACAGAGCCAGGACTGAATAATTTGCGGGGTGATTTGCTAATGTTATGGTAGGGTTTATTGTAACTTGGCAAGAGTGTCGTACGAGGAGATAATATCGGAGAGGAATACTATGGTGTAAAGAATACTGGGAGAGGTCGACAGCACTGAGATAGGGGATAGTCATTTAGTAGGTAGGGTCAGAATAAGGAAGAAAATACTGAAGTCTAAATCAGGGTTGCTTTGCATGAATGTCAATGCATGAAGTGCAGTAAATAAAATTGGTGAGTTGCAAATGCAGATTACCAAGTGGAAATATGACAATGTACTATAACAGAGAAACTGGCTTGAGGAAGGGCAAAACTGGCTATTAAATATTCTCGGAATCAAAGTGATCTGGGAAGATAGGAAAGGATTAAAAAGGGTAGGGGTGACAGTATTGATTAAAGAGAGCTTTGCAGTGCTGGAGAATTAGGATGTCCCAGAGAGGTCAATGACAAAATCAATTTGGTTAGAGGACCAACTACTGGGAAGGATGCAGCGGAACAAATTTGGCAGGAAATCGCAGAAGAACTATAGTTTACAAAGAGAGATATGGTGGTGAACTTTAATTCCTCAAATATAGACTGCAATAGTAGCAGAGTAAACAGCAGAGAGGGGCAAGAGAATTTTCTATAACTGTATGTTTTCAGTCCAATGATAAAGGATGCATAGCTAAACCTGATTCTTGGAAATGAGATGCGTCAAGCAAAACAAATGCCAGTGAAAGGACATCTGAGGGATAGTAATCACATGATCACAAAGTGTAGAGTGGCTATGGACAAAGACAGCAAATGATCCAGAACGAACAACTGAGGAGGAAAACTAACTAGAAAGGGATTAGAATGGTTCTGGAGTCAATAGCTGGCAGGAAAAACGGCATCTGAACAATGAGCTGTTTTCAAGGAGAAGATCATTCAGGCATAGTGCAGGTATATTCCCTCAAAAGGTAAAGGTAAGACAAACAAATTTAGAGCTCCCTGGATGCTGAAGAAGGTGGAAATAATGATAATGAAGAAAAATGTGCTTATGATGGTTTTGGTAGAAGATACAATTGAGAAGCAGGCTGATATAGAAGGCTCAAGTGGAGTAGTGAAAAAGTGAATAAAAGCAAAGAATGTGTATGAAAAGAGACGGTCAGTTAACACGAAAAGAAATTCACAAGTCCTTGATATGTATATAAATTGAATGAAAGTGGAATTGTTCAGGAACCAAAAAGGAATTACACTTGAAGTAGGGTCATGGCTGAAGTAATGAGTGAATATCTTGCATCGGTCTTTACCAAGGGAAAATAATGCTATACAAGTTAAAATGTAAGGGAAGGAAAGTCATTTGCTAAAAAGGGTTTAAGATTTATTTTGGGGATGGTATTGGAAAGGCTGTCCAAGGTGACAAGGCACTGGACTGGATGAGATACATTTAAGGACACCGACAGAAGCGAGAATGGTAATTAAGGAGCCACTGGCAAAATTTTTCAGTCTTTCTTAGACTCAAAATGATCCAGAGTACCGGATAATTGTAAACATCATGCCCTTCTTATGAAACAGTGAAAGAGAACTTAAGCAATGATGTGCCAGACAAGTTAACTTCAGTGATGGAAAAACTTCTACAAACAATAACTTGTGCCAGAGCTAAGTCATATGGACAAATGCACGTTAATTTAGGACAGCCAGCATTTTTTTAAGAAAGGAAAATCATGTTTAACTAACTTACCAGAGTTTTTGATGAGATAACAGAGGGCAGTTACAATGCTGTCGACGTGGTGTACATGGACTTCCAAAAGGCATTTGATATAGTGCCACAAAACAGATATGTGAGCAAAGTTAGAATTCATGGAATAAAAGGGATAGTAGCAAAAAGGCTACAGAATTGACTGAGTAACAGAAAACAGAGGGCAAGGAATAATAAATGTTTTCCGAAATGTGGGAAAGTTATTGTGCAGTTTCCCAGGGATTGCTGTTGGAATCTGTGCTTTTCCTGACATATATTAACAATTTAAACTTTGGGATACAGGGCACAATTTCAAAATTTGTGAAGGACACAAAACTTGCGAGCATTGTAAACTGTGCAGCAGGATACTGCAGAGCTTCAAAAGGACATAGTAAAGTTAGCAAATGAAGTTCAATGTGGAGAAGTGTGCAGTGATGCATTTTGGTAGAAAGAACATGGAGAGACAGTATAACAATGAACTATACCATTTTAAAGGAGCAGAGACACATATAAGATGGCAGGACAGGTGGAGAGAGCAGTTAATAAAGCATACAGTATCCTAAACTTTATTAATGAGGCACAGAGTACAAGAGTAGGGAGGTTATGCTGAACTTGTATTAAGACACCAGTGAGCTAATCAGCTGGAGCAATGTGTACAGTTCTGGGCATCAGACTTGAATAAAGATGTGAAGGCAGTGGACAGAGTGTAAAGGACATTTACCAATATAATTCAAGGTTGAAGATTTTTTTTTTCCTCTATTCATTCATGGGATGAGGGCGTTGCTGGCTCGGTAGCATTTATTGCCCATCCCGAATTGCCTGGAGGGCAGTTAAGAATCAACCACATTGCTGTGGATCTGGAGTCACATGTAGGCCAGACCAGGTAAGGTTGGCAGTTTCCTTCCCTATAGGGCATTAGTGAACCAGATGGGTTTTTCCAACAATTGACAACGGATTCATGGTCATTGTTAGACCCTTAATTCCAGATATTTATTGAATTCAAATTCCACCATCTGCTGTAGTGGGATTCAAACCCTGGTCCCCACAACATTATCTGGGTCTCTGGATTAACAGACCAGCGATAATACCATTAGACAATCACCTCCCCATTTCAGAAGCTATATTGGAGAAATACTGGTTCTCCTTGAAGAGAAGGCTAACTGAAGATCTGATGGAAGTATTTAAGATCGTGGAGACTTCTGGACAGAGTAGACAGGGTGAAACTGTCCCTGCTCTTGAATGGAGTGAGAATGAACGGCACATATTTAATATAACTAATCTAAGAAGCAGAAGCGATGAGGAAAAACATTGTCAAGCAGCGGGTGGCAAGGGTCTGGAATGCACTGCCTGAGAGTTTGGTGGAGGCAGGTTCAATCAAGGGAATTGTGTGGATATTTGAAAAGGACGAAAATACAAGGTTACAAGGTAAAGGCAGGAGAACTGCGCTAGATGAGAGATTTTTTGGAGAGGTGCACATACACGAAGGCCCAAATAACATCCTTCTGTGCTGCCACAGTTCTGAGATTCTGGTTCTGTGGTTTAGCCATACTGTCTAACTTTAATGAGGACTTCTTTTTATAGCACCCCTTACCTCTTCAGGATGCCCAATGTACTTTGCAACAATGTAGAAAATAGAGCAATCAATGTGCACACAAGAAAGTTCCCACAAGTAGCAGTTAAATAGGTAGTGGTTGAGGGACTTTGAGAGAATACAGTGCAGAACTCCTCTGGTGTAGCACTGGAGTGCCAGCCTGAATTTATGAACACAATCTCAAGAGGGGTACATGAACTTGTAATCCTGTGGGTCAGATGTGATAGTGCTACTGACTGAGTCACAGCTGACCCTGTGAGTAAAGTTGCAAAACACTTTCTGCAGCTCAAATGAATGATCTGTCAAGGTAACAGAATGCATTGCTGCAATTTTGTTGCTTAACAAGTTTTAAGTTAATCATGATAAGGTCAGAATTGTTTTAAACATTTGCTCACATTAAGGAAATTTTAGATAAGCACATGAATATGC